GTCGCGTTATGCCGATATCGCCTCGAACATTCGTTCATTATCAATTTCTGGTCCTCAGATATTTTGTATATGATTTTTTCAAAAATAAGATGAAAATAAACGACAATAATCATTCAAGAACGCAAACATTAAACAAAAAAGTTGAGTATTTTATGCCAAATTATTTCTTTTTTTTGTTTAGTAACGAGTGTTTAGTATTTGAGAAATTTCTAAGTGTATCTAAATCTCGCTAAAGTATTTGTAAGACTATAAAAGTTCACAAAATTATGTAACCATGAACACGAAATGGTTCGGTAATCCAAATGGATTTGTACATATATATTGACGAAAGTAATGATCCAATCGCGTGACCGACCATAGATATAGAACCATTCCCCGCTAATTAAATTTTTCTTCTTTTTTTTTTCTTTTTCCTAATGTCTGTTCCCACATGAACCCCTCACACACAACCTAAAAGTTTACTTTCCTATTATTACTAAGATTTTTCGGAACAAGAAAAAAAGATTTGATATGGGGTTAAATAATTATCTAGTTGAGGCATGCATCTTAAACTCCTGGTAAAACAGGAAAAAAAAAAACGGAAGAAGTTCAGCCGGGAAAAAAAAAAAAAGTGTGGAAAAAATTATTAGCTTGAAGGGAAACTGGATATAACTGTTGGAAGTTGGAACTTCCAACAATGTCAGAATTTAGAAACTAAAATGTTGAGAATCCTTTGCCTTTTCTTTTTTCGTTTTTTTTTTTTTGGCCTAATTAAATACTCCTATAAATTTCCTTTTCGTAATCAAATTTCAACGCCTCGTGGGAGGCTACATTATTATTTTTATTTTTATTTTTTGACAAGAATAAATTTTATGATAACAAATACAAAGCATTACATAGTTGTGTCACAGAAGGCCAAGTTGTGTACTTCTTCAACCACATCACGATCTACTAAATTTTAAGTTACAACACTTGTGTAACAGATCCAGGAACCCAATCCGCTCAGGAATAAATTAAGAGGGTCGTCTCATTATTTTTTAATACAGTTAAATTTCAAAAAAAACAAAAAAACAAAAACATCCATGATAATACAAAAGTATCAATCTTAACGTTGATAAATAAAGATTTGAAACGACAATTGGTCAACTTTTTTACACAACCATGTTGGAGTTATTTTCAATATATTATTAGGACACAATTAATATATTGTGCCTATTGGGTGTTTTCAATATATTGTAGAGACACAACTAATAGGTTGTGCCTATGTACTCCATATAAAAAGACATTAACGAAAAGTTATGTCTAAGACCATAACCAAGGGTTACGTCTAATCCTCAAAAGTTTCCTTAACTCTATAAATATGAATCATTTGGATGCTTTTAGTAGACAATGAAATCACCAAGTACTTGGAATATTTCCAATGACATTTCTTATCCTTGTATCAGGTTGTTGGTTCACTAAAGTGCATAGTGAAACAAACATGATCTCCATTTTATCTCATAGGGAATTCGCCTAGACAATTGCACTGTATAGTGGGCGAATTTAGCCTAAAGGAAAGCAAGTTTACTTGTGACTTAGAGACAAAACTTTCTTTTTTCCTAACCATAAATTCTTCCTCTTTTTTTTTGATTTAGTCCAGTTATTGTTGTCCACTATTCTTTAAGTAGAATTCCAACAATCTTTAGGCTAAAATTTTTTTGTTAAACAATGGCTAGTACTTGAAGAATCAAGCAAGGATATTTTCGTTGCACACGAAACTGGTAGAAATGTTGCAGATCATTGGATTTAATGGAAAGGGCAATGATAGGATACAATAGACCTCGTCATCAAAGTAAGAATTATATTTTACTTGTGAATTGTGACATTCCAAGTTCAAAGTATATATATATATTTAATAAATACATGAACGTAGTGATGAGATCTATGCCTGAGTGGAACATGGTTGTAGAAGTCATGAACTTTTGTATGCAAAAGAAATTTACTATACATTATTTGTTGATTGCCCAAATGTGTGGTGTCTATCAAAATAAAATATTTAATTAATGTGATGATTAATTAAGAAAATGTATGTCATAAAAGATTTGATAGAGAATTTGGTCATGTTTTTATCATGCTTTGAAATAGAAATGTAAAATTGACATTTGATATAGCAATAGTACTTTGAGTGCATGTTATAAATTTTTATAAAGTCTAAATCTGTTGGAATTTATTCTATATTTTGTTTGGCTTTGTCGACTTGTTGGTCGACTAGAGTAAAGTTGACATAGAAATTGTCGTTCGTTGATATGTCTGACTATTTGGCTTTGTCGACTTGTTTGTCCATAAAATTAAAGTAGACAGAAAATTCATCCGTTAAAGTGTTTGGCTGTTTGGCCTCGTCGACTTAGTCGTCACCTGGATAAAGTCGATAGAAAAGTCAACGACCGAAACCTAAGAAAATCAAAATAAAATAAAATAAATTCTTGTGTGCAGAAGTTTTGTGAGTGCATCACATATTAATTATTTGATTTTGGGTTAATCAAATAAAGAACTTTGATCCCAATGAAGTGTTAATTTCGTATATTTGTGTTGGTTACATGGAATATTTAATTGTATAAATGAATTTGCAATTTATATGATAATTTCATGTGATACATAGTATGACAATAGTGATATAGTTATGAATTTATATCATATGTGTTAATATATGATTTGAAATTCATGTCTTACTATATGTTTGAGTTGTTTATGTCAATAATTTAAAGTTTCCATGAGATCTCAAAGAAAAAAAGGAGATTATATGTTTGGAAACTTGAAACTCTTTATACATAATAAAGAGTTTGAAGAGAATGAAAAATTCTCTATTAAAGTTAAAAAGGAGAATGATTCTTGACCTAAGTCCACATTGTGGAAAATGGACAAAGCATCAAGTCCATGTTCGATATCATATCAACTAAAATAACAATGAATCAGGTATTAGGAAAGCTACCATATTGTAACAAAGAATGACACTAAGAGCTTAAGTGTAAAATGTTTGTAACAAGAGAAATTGAGCTAATTTTTCCAGGAATATGAAGAAAGAAATCGTGACATGGTGATTTCAAAACTTCATATTAGGGAAGATGATTTCATTGTTGGGTTGATTGCGAAGTTTGAAAGAACAAACTGGTTCTTCAATTTCCTAAATATGGGCATATTAATTAACAGTTTGGATGCATTATTATTTAAATTGTGATCACAAGATGAGTTAATGAACTCAGGTTAAGTATTAAAATTCTTAACAAGATTTGAGTCAATATATTCGTGTGAAGAGATGATCCTTAAAATTTGAGTTAACAAACTCATAAGTAAGGGCTAAATATTGAAAGACATTTGGTCTAAAGACTGAATGACTTAAAGGGATATGTGTAAAGTCCAGAAATGATTACTTTCATTGAAACCTCAATTCAACGCTAGTAAATACTCTAGTCTTGAATTCAATGAGCGATGGTATAATGTACAATAAATTGAGCACTACAATATTTATCCCAAAGTAGTTAGTGCTGTATATTTCCCGCTAGGTATCAGGTTGAGAATTGACTCTTAACAAACTCTTGTAAATGCTAAAATGGCGGGAGCATTAAGAAGTTTGTCTATATGAATGTCGGACTGGGCATCCACAAAGCTTGGAACTTAGCTTTGTTAACATGCATGAAGAGATATGGGTACAAGACCTTACGTACCATATGCACTGGTAAGGTGTAGGCAAGTTGAGGAGAAAGAAACCTATGTGTGTTGACAATAGTGGCTTGTAACATGTACACACGGTTCAAAGCTAGTCTACCGGGTTGTACTACAAGTTATGAAACCGACACTAAGGTAGTGGTTCAAGTCTAACAACACCATTATTTTATGCACGGGTTTTGCTGGAATTATTCTGGATCCTTTTAAAAAACATTTTCAATATATTGAAAATGGCGGGGTATTGTTGGAGTTATTTTCAATATATTGTAGGGACACAATTAATATGTTGTGTCTATTGAGTGTTTTCAATATATTGTAGAGACACAACTAATAGGTTGTGCCTATGGACTCCATATGAAAAGACATTAACGAAAAGTTATGTCTAGGACCATAATCAAGGGTTACGTCTAATTCTCAAGAGTTTCTTCTAACTCTATAAATATGGATCATTTGGATGCTTTTAGTGGACAATGAAATCACCAAATACTTGGAATATTTCCAATGACATTTCTTATCCTTGTATCAGGTTGTTGGTTCACTAAGTGCATAGTGAAACAACATGATCTCCATTTTATCTCATAGGGAATTCGCCTAGACAATTGCACTATATAGTGGGGGAATTTATGTCTAGGACCATAATCAATGGTTACGTCTAATCCTCAAGAGTTTTTTCTAACTCTATAAATATGGATCATTTGGATGTTTTTAGTGGACAATGAAATCACCAAATACTTGGAATATTTCCAATGACATTTCTTATCCTTGTATCAGGTTGTTGGTTCACTAAAGTGCATAGTGAAACAACATGATCTCCATTTTTATCTCATAGGGAATTCGCCTAGACATTGGAATATAGTGGGCGAATATAGCCTAAAGAAAGTTTACTTGTGACTTGGAGACAAAACTTTCTTTTGTCCTAATCATAAATTCTTCCTCTTCTTCTTTGATTTAGTGCAGTCATTGTTGTCCACTATTCTTGAAGTAGAATTCCAACAAACCATTCATCAATTGGTTCATGGATTATGATGGAGGATATGAAATAATTAGGGTTATTAAGATATTTTAATAATTTCATATTAGTTGGGATTCGTTTTTTTTTTTTGTCTTATTTGGTATTTAAATGTAGGGATCTGTATGCCAAATTTATAAAACTAAGTGTGTTTTCTCTTCTAATTTTTCGAGAAATATCTTGATATCTTAACTCCTGCTATTCGTGTTGAAACAACGATTTTTGAGAAAGTTGTTATTTAAATATTGGTGTGCGGAATCAATGGATGTCAACGATTTGTGTTAAGGTACTTATTGGTTACGATTCAGGATTAATTTTGAAATTGATCGTTTGATTTGGAGGCTTCCGCTAACTTTATCAGATTACCATAATCTGCGAAAAGAAAAAAAAAACTGTTGCCTTTTTTTAGTAATCATCTCCGAAAAGGCTAATAGATTACATTTTGATCTGGGTAAACAAAGCAGATGCAACATCAGCAATGTCACAAAAAATAGCATTGATATTAACAAAAGGAGAGGGGTTTGGTTTGAAAGCAGCATCACATAGATGAGCAGCATCTTTCACAGTAAACATTATACCTTCCCCAACCTTTGGATTGCATGAATCTACAGCCAGAATCGCATCACGAATGTAGAAGTTACGGATGAGTGCGAATTGGTTCCCGCATTCGGTTAAGGGGATTTTCTGTTCAGGCCGGTCTATTAGCATCTGTTTGATTGCTTTGAGGGTGTAATCTGTCTTGGAAATGAGTGAATCGATAACAACTAAGGTAAAAACTTTGACATCCGCATTGGGTTCATAGCTCCTTGGATCATGCCTTAGAATGTACTCACACAGTTTGGGATTGCGAGTTTTTTGGCATGTGGTTTCCATGAGATCAGAGGTTCCCAATGGAAGAAATGCTGCTATTGTCAAGGCAACTCTGAAAATGATGGAACCATTTTGAATAGTTTTGGCCATCTTTTTTTTATTTTATTTTTTTTTTTTTGCCCTTACCAAAACTTGTATTGTTAGTATTGTGGGTTCAATTGGTGCCCTTATTTATATTTGCATTCCATCTGTTTTCAAAAGGAAGTCGCATCTATTGGACGGAGGGAGTAATAAGTATTTCGAACCGGAGTAATAATGAGTCTCAGGTGGTGGATTTGGAGCTTTCTGGTTGGGAATTGATAGCATATGTGACATCGGCAAAGTCAGAAACAATTTTTTGGCATTTAACAAAGGCAAAAAAGAAGGGTTTGGTTCAAAACCATCGTCACATTTCAAATTCATCATCATCTCTTCACCAAGCAATCCGTTATATACCATTATTTGTAGCCACAATAGCATCTCGAATGACGAACGTTTGAAATGAGATGGCATTGGTTTCCTCATTGATTTAAAGGGATTTTCAATTCTGGCTTCTCTAGAGCAGCTCCAAGAAACATTTTTATGCGTAATCTAGACTTTGATTTGAGTGTTTCAAACTTCAATGGATGATTGGCGCTAGAGCTTTCGGGATCTTTCCTTAGAATATAGTCACAGAGTTGGACGTTTGGGGCTTTTTTGGCATGTGGTTTCGACTAGATCAGAGGATCCCATCGGAAGAAATGATGTCATTGTGAAGGCAGCTATGAAAATGATGGCAAAACTTTGAAGATGATGGTTAGCTTCACTTGCTAGTAGCTTCCAACTTGTGATTGTTAACGTTCAGTTTTATAGTACTTCCACATCCCAAAAAAGGTCACGTTAGCCGGACTAAAGTCTAAAACCAACAACAAACAGGAGCATTATATATGGGTGGATTAGTAGCTATGTGGTTGGGGACTACAGTACCATTTGACTGTTTTATTCTACTTTGTCCGTCCAAAATAACAAAATGCCGTCGGTTGGACAAGAACTAACAACAAACAGGAATCTCTTTGGTACAAAAGTAGTACTCCCTCCATCCCGTAATTATTGTCTAGTTTAAATTTTCATTTCTAATTCATATTGTACCAAACGTAAAATCTCAAAATGAACAATACTTTTTTGGGACAAAAGGAGTATTACATATAGCACAAACAAAATAATGAATCTCAGCTGGTTTATGTGTTTGGGGACTATAATAAGGTTGAACCTGGATTGACTTGTGCCACGCATACTTGATAGTGATGCAACTCGTTTTCTATGTTAATGCTACCAAAAGGGCGGCATTAGGACCACACAAACATACACACAAACACAATGCCAACAAAAAACACAACCATTAAACCAAACACATAACATTTGGAATTGAACTTCTTGCACAAAAAAATCTCTAAATTTCTCTGTCTCTGAATACCACCAACCTGCATGTAAAAGCACACTTTCTCTTCACCTGTAAAACAGACATGACCTCCACAGTTGAAAGTGCATTCAAAGTATAAGCATCTATATGCTGGCTATTTACAACCAAAATGGACAGGCTATCCCTAATCCCGAATTCAACTATGAAAACTGTGTTCCAAATTCACAATTCATTTCCAGTTTAGTATATCAGCGAGACCTCAGCAGGCATTGGAATTAGACACCAGCATTTGCACCAGACAAACCAGATGAAGAAGCACCAGATTCGGCATTCACATTCTTCAGTTTCTGACTGGTGATTTCAGGGGCACTCCCATGCTCTGGCACATCACCAATGTCCAAAGAGTCTGGAAGCTTTTGGGAAAAATCAGACGAGAGCTGCAAGATTACGACAAACACTTAAAATCAGATATAAAATAGGAAAAAAGAAATTAAGATCAATCATTTTGTTCTTGTTTTCCCACAGTTTCAGATATATACCCGATCCAACAAATATGGAAGCAAAAATCCTCACTTCCAATAATCATTCTGGTGATCATATCCATAACAGAGCTACAAATACGGATTTATTACAATAGAAGGATACTCCTTGGCTATCTATGTATCCCCCAGTCTGCATATACAACCATGGCTCACTCTCATTTGTAAAGATATCCTAACATTAAGACCAGAATCTCCATTAATGCCAGCATATGGCATCTTGTTAATATAAAGTTTGAAAGACACAGTGAGGATCAAGTTTCCAATTTCTGGTCTTTAATAGCTACTGTCTGTTGGCGAATGTTAATCATTAACTTCCCTCTAAATTTAAACATAACACCACAGTAAGCGGTGAAACATCCAATAAAAGTACAGTTTCAGATAACTACATGGTCATTTTCTCTATCATCATATAATTGCAACATGCTCCTACATTTTTATTTCCCCAAATCCACCAAAGACATGTGGACATAAATGTCTGATTTCATCTTTTAGTTTAAATGCAGCAAAAGCACAAAGGTAAAACAATGAAGTGGCACTTAAAATAAGCAGTAAGAATTTAAGTAAAACAGAATGATCGGTCTTATGAATTAGTATAGAGTGACAAACTTACCTCAAAGTGGTTAAGCATATCTATTGCAGAGTCCAAATCACCTTGGTTCGCATAGTAGATCTCAGAAAGAAACTCCTCTGCTATACCTGGAAATGTCATCTGCAGGTATGTTACATCCATTTCAAAATCCTCACCCTGGGCTCCTTTCTCTGTGGTCTCGGATGAACTATATGAAGAAGAACCATGAAACCCAGAACCAGAATGACCTTTTAGCTTGGAATCTTCAGCAGCATGCCAACTACCATAACCATGACTGTTATACAATTGGGGACTTTGTGATGTTGGATCCCACTGCCGAGGTGCAATTACAGAACCCTCAATCGCCCCCTTAGACTCAGTTCCCACATGCCCTGTGTCGTTCTTTCCATTAGGTCCCCCTCTTTTAGAAATTGGGACATATGACTCAGCATATGGATTCAACGTAGATGTTCCACACTTCATCGTAATGGCGCATATAATTGCACTGGCAGAAAAAGCCAAAAATTAAGTAATGATTGGAGGCAAAGAATGCAAAGAACACATAGGGAAAACAAAAACAGTTTCATGTAAGGTAAGAGTCACTGATTTACCATATCTCTTAGAACCAAGATAACATTTAACACAGTAGAAAACATGCACCAGTTTGATTTATACTGAAACTGTTCAAGGCTTAGAAGATATGCACTTGGAAATTTAAGGCTTTAAAGCTTCCCAAAATGACTAAAACTTCAAATCAGGTGATCATTGGGAGCGCTCACAGCAAAAGAACAATTAAATTAAACCATCATGATTGAGATTTATGGTAGAGGAAATAGTGAGTTGATTGATCTCTTATGCACAAAAGCAAAGCCATCCAGAGAAGCATCAGTTATCCAATTTTTATAACAAAGGAACAACAAATACCAATGCTGCATCATACAAAAGTTTCAGAAATGTTGGCTATGACAGCACAAGAAGGAGAAGAAAGGCATTTCACTACAAAAAATCACAAGTCAAGAGATCCAAGAGACTAACTTCAACCCCAATAACCGTCGTGCTTGATCTAAACAAAATCCATACGCAAGGCAGATATAAAAAATTTATAAAAAAAAAAAAAAGGATTACTTCCATATACTAATTCTTCCGCATCTCCACTAATATCACCAAGTAAAACTAAAACTAGTACAAAAACTAAGCATTATTGGTGTATTAAACCAATACTAGTACGATCAATTTTTACCAAAAAAAAAAAAATCCAATTAATACACAATTATTCAGGCTCGAGAGAGGCTGGTACCCTAAATCATTTCATCACGCCCATAGGCACACCAACACAACCAAGAACTTGAACAAAAACTGAACAAACGAATTGCGCATGAAATTCAACAGATTTTCAAAGAAATTCCACAAGCGATCCAACAATTCAACATACTCTCAACCTCAAACACAAAACTCCGCAACCAAAACGAACACAATTCTCAAAATTCAACGCAATTATCACGCACAACACAACCGCAAACGCACAACAACAACCGAACGGCAGAGAGCTAAACAAAAAATTACAGCAGTTCAATTTTTAGCTGGAAAAATCAAAGATAACCGCCAGACAACTGCCGACGAAAACCAAAAAAAAAAATAATAATAATAATAAAAAGAAAAAGAAAAAAGAAGCAGAGAACGGCAACGAAGTTATACCGGCGAAGGAAGTGATGATGAACAGTGATCGGAGAAATTCTTCGCGCGATGAAGAACAAGAGGAAAAGGAGAAAAATGGATTCCGCGATCGCCCGGAGGAGTCACCGTCAGAGATTGTTGTCACCCGCCTCTCTTTTCCTCTCTCTCTCTCCTTCTTCGCGCACTACCTTTTTTTACGTTTAAATGGAAAAAGCGAAAGGGAAAAAGTGCAACATAAAAAGGGAAAATAATAAACAGAAACCAGTAAAAATATTTTATGAAGGCAAAAATGAGTCACAAAATTAATGGTGGTAATTACTAAAACAGTGGTAAAGAAAATGTGTCCTGTGTGTGCTTTTTTTAAGGTAAAAGAAATTTTTTAATACAATTGAAACAATGTATGATACATAAATTAATTAAAACTTAAAAGTAAATGAAAGATGGAGAAAAATGTATGAAAAGGCCATAAAAGAAGTGAAATTACTGCAATTACTGCAGTAATTAGAATATTTGCGTATTAATCTATATCTATGTTATCTTTATATGTCTCTATATATATTAATGGAGAGTTTTCAATCGAACACATAGCGCGAATTTAGATAGACTAATTCACGTAACGCAAAATTAGAGTACCAAGTCCACATATCGCAGCCACATTACTCCATCATTTAATGGTAATTTTTAATTTGTAAATCCGTAAAATTTATAAATAACCAATTTTATTTTTAATCAAATACGATAAGTTTTAAAAAAAAATTATAAGAAATAAATATATAAATTAGTTGGCCCCTCATACATTAACATGTTAATTAAATCCTTAATCTCAATACCCGTGACAATATAGAAGATGACACTATTAATACCGAAACTCCTAACAAGAAAAGAATGGTGCTTGAAGATGCAATGATGACTTGAGTTTACAGCCTTCTACCAACAAAAAACGATTTTGACGCATATTTTTATCAATGCATTTTTCTCATTCGAATAATTATTTCCATAATTTTATTTTAGTTTTTTAATTCTAAAGAAAATAAAATGTTCCAATATTACTTGGTACATGTAAAAGTCATAGTAGAGATAATTCCAACGCATGAATAATTATGATTTTGTTTTGTTATTTTAATACTAGGGAAAATGGGTCTTTTCATCCCAAAGTTTGGACCACACCATCCAAAACATCCCAAAGTTTAAGAACATGCCATTTACATCCCAAACTTTTAAAAACATGTTACATTAGGATATTTGTTAAATTTTTAACTCCAATTAATTAATTAGTGGTGGTACTTTATTCTGTTTCTCCTCCCCCAATTCTTTTAATCATTTAACACGTATCACTAACTCCCACCTTATAAGAAAATAGCTAAACCTAATTTGATCTTCACATCATCCATTCTCCCTTTGCTTAGAAAAAGAAAAAAAAATTCAAAATTCACCTTCTAGATTAATAACAATCATAAGAGGTTTTGTGTGTGTCCTAATTAGAAAGTAAGCCCTATTTCATTTATTTTTTTAAATATATAGTATCATTATAAAAATTGGTGTTGTAATTGATGCAGGGGCATGCAACTTTTTTGCTTGGCATGGACCAAATTTACCAAACGCAAGCATGAAACTTTTTTTACTAAAAAAAAAAGAGAAAAGAAACTGAATGAAATATCGTCGTTAATAACTTGAAAAAATTAACAAATGTCCTAATATTACATATTTTTGAAAAGTTTGGGAAGAAAATGGCATGCTTTTAAACTTTGGGATGTTTTAGATGGTGTGGCTCAAACATTGGGATGAAAAGGCTCATTCTCCCTTTAATACTATCTCGATATACTTTTATATTAAATATTGCTTTCATACTTAAAGCTGTTTATCAGTGATGAATGTTCTATATGCGTTTCAAGAAATTAATTTTGTGGCATGACGTATTACTAAGTTCCTTTAGTGGCTCATGGACAAGACATATTTTTTAGTAGCTCATTTCAAAAAATATATATATATAGCCCATTTCCAAAAAAAAAAAAAGTTAATTAGTAGAGTTTAAATTATGCCTCAACATCAAAGTTTTGGCCACCACCACTTTGTCAAACATTGGTAGTTAACCGGACAGCATCGGTTTTTACCCGTTAAATTTTTTTTTTCATAAACCGCACAAATAATTACCATCATAATAAATTTCAATCTTTTCTTTCTATCGGTACCATAATGACTGCAACCATAATGATAATGAGTCGGTAATCATTAATAAATTCAATTCCATTTTTTTTTTTTGAATAGAATTCCATTTACGTTGCTCAGGAGAATAAGTATTAAATATAATCTTCTATATCTATATACTATACTAAGGCAAAAATTAGAGAGAGAAAACTAAAGGCATGGAGCACATGCCACATAGGATTTAATCATATGTGGCATTTTCTTAATTTCTTAGACTTAAAAATGCACAAAACAAAATAATAAAACCAAAAAAAAAGTAACTAAAATAATTAAACAAAAGCAAAATAATAAAAACCAAACCCTTATTTTCATGAACCAAATCTAGGATTTAATCTTATGTGGCATTTTCTTAATTTCTTAGACTTAAAAATGCACAAAACAAAATAATAAAACAAAAAAAAGCAACTAAAATAATTTTTTTTAAAAAAGTAAAATAATAAAAACCAAACCCTTATTTTCATGAACCAAATCCTAACACAGAGATTGATTGGAGAGAGTACCAAATCCTAACCAAAAAAAAAAAGCAACTAAAATAATTTTTTTTTAAAAAAAAAACAAAATAATAAAAACCAAACCCTTATTTTCATTAACCGAAACCTAACACAGAGATTGATTGGAGAGAGTACCAAATCCTAACAAATTTTAGAGAGATCTGCATAAACCTTATCACCAGTAAATTTAAAATGTCATTTAAAAAAAAATTTCTATAAATCCAGGGGTAATCATGTTTAAAACTGAAGTCATTACATATTTTATAAAAATACAAAATTTATGTAAAAATGTCTAAATGTATATGTCTTCTCCGTCCATCGGACGGGTCTAACACCTAGTTAAATATCATTGTCAAATAAGATAAGTTTTTAAAAAAGGAAATGATAAGAAATAAGTATTGAAATTTAATTTATGCATAATAACATTAACATGTCCAACTAAAAGAAAAAAGTAATAAGATGCAAATTTTCTGTTGTCCAAAATCAAAATTGTTTCATCGTAATTGAGAAAACTAATACTCAATACTGGTGCTAAATAGTTTTCTTTTTTGCCTTTTTCATTGCATATGCACCTTGAAATACAAGTGTGGTATGCAATTTTCATTGATGAATCTTCTAACCTTGATGAAAATTTGTAATCTGCATCAAAATATAAAAATCAATTAGGTGACACTTCTACTCCAAGTAACAGGCTAATAAGAAAAACTTCTCACGGCCAAATTAGTTAACCAACTCCAAAATGAACTTCTGCACCTTAAGTCTGAAGTAAACACTATATTATATGAAAGACATACAAACAAATTTCTAAAGAAATGTTGCAAAAGATATATAAGGAGAAGAAAAATAAATATAAGTTTATGGAAAGAAATAATGTAAAAAAATTGTTGAAGGGAGAGTTGAAAAGATATGATACGAGTAGAAATATTTAGAGATATCATTATAAAAAAAATTAAGAGAATACTGTTAAAAGATATAAAGTCATAAATCAAAAAGTTCCTTTAGTTGCTCATTGACAAGACTTTTTTTAGTGGCTCATTTCCAAAAAAAAATTAAGTTAATTGGTAGAGTTTAAATTGTGCCTCAACATCGAAGTATAAGCAGTATAAGCAGAAGAATTGTAAAAAAAAAAATTAAAAAGATTAAAAATTAAAACAAAAATAAAATGACAAAAACACCCTGAACCTAAAAACATGTGAAAAGTGGATTTCCATCACTATTTAACGGCTAATATTAGCAGAATGATCTTGGATGAACATTTTACTTAGTATGGTGGCCTGTTATATAAATAAATTTGATTGATGACTTGTATTAGAATTGCCTAATAGTTTAATGACCCGTTTTGAGATTCACTCTTTATAATATCACAAAAGATAATCCACAATCTAATTTTCTCTCTTCAAATCTTGAATTTCTTCTAGATTTTAAACTTGGTAGTAGTACTATTTTTTCACTATAGCCACTTATATCCCAAGTAAATTAAGAATACAAAATTTATAATATATAACTCATAAATATAAAAACTGGTCGCGCAACGCGCGACTAAAAACAACCTAGTATTTAAAAAAAAAAAAATATCTATTAAAAAACCCAAAAATATATACTTATTATAAGTGTACCGGCGTTTCTTTTTCTTCGGGCTCAGTGTACTCAACTTCGACTCTTATGTTCGGCTATTACGCAGTACAAGCTAATCTATGTGCATAGATCTAGAGTTTATGTGCATAATTCAAAACTCCATATGCTTGGATCCATAGTCTATACCTTATGTCCATAAATTCAGACCCTATCTACATGGATCCAGAGCACCTATGCATAACTTGAGACCCCATGCGTATGGATCCAAACCCGATGTGCATGGCTTAAAACTCCATGTATATAATTCGCCCAGATAGTAACTAAGATATTACAGGGAAGTGCTATTAGCCACAGAGATCTCTCTTGCATTTGTTTTGGAAAAAACTGGTTTAGGAGGTTACGCTGTATTGCAAAACTAACAACCTGTTTTTGCATTTTTTCCCTCTTCAATATTATTTTATATTTTTTTGGTTAGTTTTAGTGTCGCTTTTTTAAAAATTTCATTCTATTATTTCTTCACCTGAACTTTTCTTTAAAAAATTTAAACCTTCTTATTTACATATATTCAATAATATATTAGCAACTCAGAGATAATATTTACATGTGTGAATGTAACATGAATATATATACCCTAACATAAATGAATAAAAAAACATAATAGAAAAAAAATGTGTAAAACTTACCATTAACCTAATTGCAATGGTAATATTGTAATAACTACTCAAACATTTTTTTTATGTCTAATTTTTTTCTTTATATTTTCATTTTAAAATTTTCTCTTATTTTTTTACACTACATTTCTTCGGGTAAATTTTTCCAATAATATGAAAACTTGAAAACAATAGGCATTTATTCATTTTATTACACGATTGTAAGTGTTATAATTTACTATTATCATAATACAGTAAATTATGATAAACCAAAACTTGTTGGTTGTAACTCTAATTTCCTAAATAGTTGTTGTCTGACTGTTCCGAAATTGATCAAATTCATGGAACCCGCATTCCCAAACAATTAGTGCTAACAAGTATATGAGGAGAGTTATCTCCGTCATTTGATACACTTATAGCCTGAATGTTCCGAAATTGAGTCTCCACGCAGCAATAATTGATGAACCGTCATAGCTATTTTTAAGGATTTTATTTATACACAGTTTTCGGTAAAACTCTACATCACAATGACCATCAACAAGTCAAAAAGACAGACACTGGTGTGCATCGGGTTATACTTACGTGAGCCGGTCTGCTGATGTTAGGGGACGAAGTAGTGGATACAAAAACTCGAACTGTGGTATTCGAAAAAATATTACAACTAGCAATAGATTCATAGATTCATGTTATTCATCATTTTATTTATTTCCTAATTCAAAAAATGTCCTACAATTTACTCCTATCACTCTATATAAATAGTTGAACAATATATCTTACAACATCCAAATCAAATACCAAACTACATTTCTAAGAAAAAATAATAAACACAACAAATTACTTATAGGATGCATAGCGCATCGCCCGACGGATCACCGACCGTATCAAAACAGAATACCTCAAACCAAAGATCGCATTCGCTCCACACACATGAAAAACTGTATTCTTGCCTAAAAGACCTCTCATCTCCGAAGACATAGGAATCAAAGACATCATGTTCAAAAGGATCAGTTCCCGGTGAAACTCTACTTTGACAATCAACAAGTCACAGGGAACAATTATGGAGTACGTCGGGTTACACTTACGTGAACCGTCTTCTCTCACAGTCAGCTTTATATTGCTCTCTCTCGCGCCAAGACGTCCAGATCCTTAAACGTACTCAAAATGTTGCCGACGTTAGAGGACGTTATTGAGAATACCAACACTCGAAATGTGGTATTCGAAGAAATATTACAACTTGCAATGACTTGATATTGATAAAAAAAATTTTAAAAATAGATTCATTTTATTCATCGTTTTGTTTAGTACATAGTTGTACTTGCTACAGTTTGATACTTTCACTTCATGCATAATATTTGGCAATTTATTGGGTGCACCCGGAAGCACCATGCACCCCCTCCTATTTTTTGTACTACTAGTCATTATTATTTTTTTTTCTCAACTCTTCCTATATTTTGTAAATTTAGTCCCTGTTATTTTTTCTCTCTCTTCCAAAAAACATCTCTAATATGTAAACGAGCATATTTCTCAATCTGTAAATAATTTGTAAATGAATTATATATGAAATTTATAGTACTCGACACTATCTAACAAGATCCATATCGAATATTTTTCTCGAGCTTAAAAATGATCAAATTTCGATGGCCAGAATCAAGATGGATATCCAGTTTACAAAGATGGATAAGTGATTATTTTATATTGATTATTTCTTGTAAAATTTATATCTCTTAATACGTAAAGAATTAGAAAATGAATTATACATGAAATTTATAGCGCTCGACGAGATCTATACGACAAGATCAATATTGAATATATTTTTTTGATCTTTAAATGCACTTTAGAGTTGAAGAAATGTGTTTTTTTTTTTTCTTGAAAAATGATTATCCGTTGTGTTCATACTGATTATCCAATCGGTTTGGACTGATTATCCATTTTGTTTGTACTGATTATCTAATCATATTTTATACATTCCCCTCTCTTCAAAAAAAAAAAAGAATAAAAGAATAAAATATTTTGATAAGCATTAGAAACCATTTGGATAATCAATAAATATAATTGGATAAGCAGTATAAACTGGTTGGATAATCAGTACAAAAAAATCGTACAATTATTTTTATAAAAGAGCACTGATAAAAAAAAAGTCGGATAACCATCACCAAGAAGTCGGATAGTCAGTATAAACACATTGGACATATATTTTCTCAAAAGAAAAAAAGAAAATAAATTATGTTTGGATCATCAGTGAAAACGATTGGATAACTAATACAAAACGGTTGGATAGACAATACAAAAAATTGAACAAGGATTTTCGCAAAAAGTAGAGAAAAAAATGCTTGATAATCTATACCAAACAATAGGATAATCAATATGAACGCGTTGGACAACTATTTTTTTCAAAAAAAAAAAATAAAAAGAAAAAGAAGGTTGGATAAGCAGTACTAATTAATTGGATAATCAGTATTAACCGACTGGGCAATAATTTTCCAGAAAAAAAGATTGGATAACCAGTACAAACGAAATGGATAATCAGTTCAAACCAGTCGAATAACCAATATGAACACAATAGATAACCATTTTAAGAAAAAACTAGGTTGGATAACCGGTGCCAATTAGCTGGATAACACGTACAAACATATCGGACAAGTATTTTCATAAAAATATATATATAAAAAAGCTGGAGAAACAATCCCACGGGTTGGATAATCAGTACGAACACATTAATTGGACAAGCATTTTCTCAAAAGAAAAAAAATTATTGGACAAGCAATACAAACTTATTTGGACAGGAAGTAAAAATAATTGGATAACTAATACAAAGCGATTGGATAATCACTACGAACACATTGGATAACATTGTTTTAAAGAGAGGAAAAATGATTGAATAAGCGGCATAAACAAAATGGATAACCAGTATTAGCGTATTGGAGAATATTTTTTCCAAACAAAAAAACAATGATTGGATAACCAGTACAAACAATTTGGATAGGCACAGAAATCCATTAGATAACCAGTATGCATAAGTTGGATGACATACAAACCAAATGGATAGATATCCAGTACAAACAAGTTAGATAAATATCCAGTACAAACAAGTAGGATATGCATACAAACCTGTTGGATTACAACTACAAAACAAGTTAGATAAATACACAAACTAAATGGATAAACAATACAAACAAGTTGGATATCCAGTACAAACCAAATCCAGTACAGACAAGTGAGATATCCATTACAAACAAGTTGGATAGACATACAAACCAAATGGATAAGTAGTACAAACAAAATGAATAACCAGTTCAAACCGGTTGGATAATCAGCATGAACACAATGGATAACCAATTTAAAATGAGTTGGTTATCCATATTCTTAAACTGAATATCACCTTATTCTTGTCCATTGAAATTTGATTATTTTTAAGCTCGAAAAAAATATTTGATATGGAGCTTGTTGGATAGATCTCGACGAGAACAATATATTTCATGTATAACATGTTTTTTTAATTCTTCACGGATTGGGAGATATATTCGTTTTAAGATTTTTTTTGGAGGTGAGAGAAAAAAATGACAAGAACTAAACTTGCAAAATATAAAAATATTGAAGAAAAGTACAATAAGGACTACATGTGCAAAAAATAGGAGGGGAGTACATGCTCCCGGGTATACTGCATACAGACTCAAATATTTTACCAATTATCCTTTCAACAACAAAATCAAATAACAAAGCAAACTTATTCAAAAACAAAAATAAAGACGACAAATTATTTACAGAATGCGTCGCGCGTTTGCGACGGATCCTCAGCACTAGTTAATTAATAATTTTGGAAAAATTAAAAAAAAAAAAAAAAAAGCTCCCAAACACAAACATTACGAAATACTCCCTCCGTCCCAAAATTATTGTCCAGTTTGTCAAAAAAATTTTGTCCCAAAATTATTGTCCGATTTGACTTTTTTTAGGCTAAGTTACATATATGCCCTTTATCCCTAAAATGAAAAACATTCTAACTGGAACATTTTCTCCCTACGCACACCACCACCAATAGCCGCCGCAAACAATGGTTCTCCGATGGCTCCAAGCAGCAACGGTTCTCCGACACCAATAGCCACAAATGATGATTCTCCGATGGTTCCAAGCAACCACGGTTCTCCGACGAATTCAAGCAGAGGTGAAGATGAGGTGGTCGGCTAGATGCCGAAAAAGAATATAGAGAATAAATTTTTGACAAATTCTGACCACTCCAAGCAGCAGCGATGGATTAGAAGGACATTGTCTGCAAAATAGAATAATTACATCGATCGGAAGAGCTTCAGATTAAAAATTAAAAACAAGAATTTTCGTCAAATTCAAATCAATTCATCCGAGACTTTTGTTCGATTGGCGGCTCAGATTTGAAGACCTCCTTCAATCCAAAAATTTTTCAATGAAATAGAAAAATTATCTTCGTAAATTTCAAATTGAAATTTTGAGCGAGAAGATTCTCCAGATTTGAAGTTCTTCGGGTGCCTGATTGAAGAACAAATGAAAGTACCAGTATTCTTCCTGCTTTCTGAAATGGGTTTGGCCGGATAAACCATTTATGTACATAGGGGTATATGTGGGAGTTTATGCCAAAAAAAAGGTTTTGTTTGACCAAAAATAAAATCTTGTATCTTAACAAAACTGGAGGGAGTAATAATGATTGAAATTTTGAGACGGAAACAATTTGAATTTTTTTTTAAAAAAAATTCGGTCTTAATTCTCGAGTCATTTCAATTCTCTCTCTCCTTTTTTTTTTTTGGCTTTAATTAGCACCCCATTAAAGGACAACACTTATCATCATCAGTGAATCAGTAATATATCCCTTTTAAGAATTCCAGAAAAGCTTGTAGGTGGATGAGCTCTGCCCTGCCCACTGCAAACACTATATACCATTGCAGCACGAAAGAGCTACGAACCAGACAACTTCACACACAGAGAGAGAATTTCGCCATAAAACAATGGTGGCGAAGCTTCTTCACTCTCCCATTCTCACATCCCACAGTTTTCTTCTTCCGACGCTTCCTTTCATTGGGTTAGTTTCTATTAGTTTTACAATCACATATTGGCCATGGAATTCTCTGTCTGCAGCAAATTGTCGCATTTGTTTATGACTTCCATCCTTTGCTTCTTTAGAAATCATCAAAATGGGATTGTCTCAAGGCAGAGGAATTGTAAGTTACATGGCAGAATCATGGCATCTTGGGGTGATGCTTCATTAAAGTCCAATATCCAGAATGGTTTGTTTTGTCGGAGGGAATTGGTTGCTATTGGCTTTTCCACTTCACTTTCTCTTTTAGTTTCTTTTTCAGGTATAAGCCATCAAATTTCTTTGTCATGTTCATTTATCTTTGTGTATATATTTATGCGGACTTCCATTTGCTGTGTTTTTGTACGTCATGTTATCTTCCATTTCATCAATCTCTTTAATGCGTTTGGTGCCTGTCCTAGAAAATGTTAATGTCGTTGAGATTCTCAAATTGATTGTGATGCATATTACTGTTGAACTTCATAGTTTGCCAGCTTCTTCTCTAATTTGAGGAGTTTTTCTGAGTTGATGTATGTTAGAGTTGAAGCTACCATAATTGAAGCTTACATAGATTATACAGCCAACTATTTCGACTATTAGAGAAAACTATCAAGTGTTTACTTTCTGTTGTCCAACATTGTTTTACAAAATGAGAGAACCTACACAGCTATCTTACTCCTTCGGATACCCCTTTCCATTCTTTCATTGTATTTTATAGTTATGAACTTATGATTGATGAGAAGTTTGAGATTTACTTTGTCTGATATCGAAATTGCGATTGGAAGCTAGTTTGAATTCTTAAGCTGAAGTTTTGTATGCAATCTATGTGCCACTTTGTACTTAGCTAATTCCATATTTTTATTGTCGTAATGGTGCTGCCTGTGATTAATGGTCTAAAATCTATGTGGACTTCTGTATGTGAATCTGATTACTTCTTCCAATGTTTTGTTATGTTTTTTCTTTTTACTGATATGGACCTTCCAGGTTCTGATGCTGAGGAAGAGGTGAAGATGGCTTCCATGGTGGATGAAACAAATGCTTATTCTTATCTGTATCCTGTTGAACTTCCACCCAGAAAGCTTGTTCTCAAGTGGTATGCGAACTCTAAACATATTTAGTTATTTATTTTTATGCCGTAAAACCCAAAATCTAATAAATCAATTGCTTCCTGTAAATGAGTAGAAAGATAACTTTATAAACGTTCCCATGAGTGGACATTTCATATTAGAAACATAACCATTTTTTTGATTCATTTGACTGCTCATTGTGGTTTATTCTGTAAATTCCCGTTGGTGTTGTTCTGGACAAATGTTGCTTCCAGAACAGTGGCCCCAGGCTTTGTTTTAGTCCTTCAAGTTTTAACTTCATTTTTATATGATACTACATCATTAAAGTTTGAACCTAATTGCATTCTCTTCTGTTAACTAATTACTTGTGCCACCAAACACCACTTACACATAATGCTATGTTACAAGAACTGTTATTTACTACTGGTGTTCAATGTTCAGTCTAGTTTTCCAGCCTAAGATAAACTTTTCAGTTAGGCAGTTTGACTCCTGACATGATGAGTTCCATAGATGGCCCTTAATTCAGAAGTTCTCTTCTTCATTATCCTGTATCTTTGAATTGTAGGAACCTTACTCTTTTCATCTGTTTGAAGGGTGGAATCCAGAAAACCAGAGCGTTATTCATCAGCTGCACCACTGTCACGTAAGTAACTGAGTACTTCCAACTTCAATTTGAAAGCAAGAATGATTAACATAATTAAGATTTTGTCATAATAATAAATGCAAAAATTCACAGTGGTTATTCTTTTTCCTGGCTGTCTTTAAAATTATTATTTGCTGATTGAAATTTCATGCAGCGAATGCACGTCTTCGGATTGTTTCCGAGAGGGTTGACTTCATTGATAATCTCATACTCTCAGTCTCGGTAATTATCGTGTATACCCACATTATTATCTTTTTTCTTACACTAAATTTATGTATGGGATAATTACTTATTTGTCTATATTCAGATAGGGCCACCCAATGCTGATATTTTAAAGTCAAAAGAAAAGAGTACGTGGAGTGCAAAAGATGTTGCTGATTCTGTTTTGTCAGACAAATCTGCTTTGGTAATCCTTATGCCAATCGTCATAGGCCAACTTTATAATCTCATAGTTGGGTTTCCGGGATTTACCTAAAAAAAGCTTAATTATCTCATGGTTACCGGTGTGAAATAGTAGCAACATAATTCTCCTTTTGCCTGCATTTCATCAGGATTGCTTTATAACACTTTTACCTATTCATTTAGTTATCCATTTCAAACACGACATGCTAATTGCTGATGACAATGGGCTTGCTACTGTGAGGATTGATATGGATATTTGATGGGAAGCTCAGATCCTGAAAATTCATATTATGATTACAATCAATCTTTGTTGTACAAATTTTCATAAACTTCTATTATTTGTTGCTTTGAACCCACAAAGAAGGATGATTTTGTTCTTTGGACAGTTTGGCTTCACAGTCTTAGTCCTTACGGCTAATGTCTTATAACTTTCTACAGAGGGTCACCACCACTCAGCGTTTAGCAGAAAGTTCAGTCCTTGATGCAAATACTGCAGAAGTCAGTTCTTTTGCTTAAACCATTGCAAAATTGCTGAAAGTTTCAAGGTTTACAAAATGTTAATGCACACATTTGTAATGTGTTTCGCATGATTCTGTATCTCAGATTGATGGTGAGCCATATTGGTACTATGAATACCTTGTGAGGAAATCACCAACAGAAGTTGTAAGTTTACTGTTACTTCACGTAGCAAGCTCTTTATGATTTAATGGACATGAATTATAGTAATGCTGCTTTATTGACCTTGCAGACAACAGATCCAAATCTTTACAGACACTATGTTGCTTCAACTGCTGAACGAGATGGTAAGATTACCAATTTCCGTATTCAGGAATCAAAATATTGCAATGCATCCACTTGTTGTTTCTCACTCTAATTATAACTAGATTCCCAACAAAATTTGATTTAAGTTTTGCTATACTTACTAACATATGAACTGAACAAGAAACAATGTCCAATCATGTGAATTATGTGAGTGACTTGTTACATTTTAGTCGGGCAATTGTAAAGTTTAAGTTCTATTATATGCTGGCTCTTCCATGTAAGCTTCTGAAAGATCTTGTCTTTTTTAATTGACTTGCTTTCATCTTAGCTTCTAACTGTGTTGTTCAGTTTAGAATGACGATCCATGATTGTTTCATCTCAATGATGTCTTGCTGGATTCATTATTACAGGTTATTTATATTCCTTGAATGCTTCAACGCTTAGCAAGAAATGGGATGACGTAAGTTTTCATCTCTGAAACTTACACTAGTTTTCAGCTCTCAGCACCAAGTTGTATATGCTTCTGCTCTTACTCTTTCCTTAAACTCATTGCAAGTTTGTTGTTTCTATTCTATATTTCGCTTGCACTCAAATCACTATCAGTTAGAGCCTCCTTTTGCATATTTTTTCCAAATGTTCTTTTGTTTTTTGTTGGATACTGGAGGTTTGGGGGTTCGTGTTGCTGTTAATGCAGCTCATAACTTTTAAATCTTCCTCTGAGTGGACCCTCAATGTCTTAATAGCTCCCCGAAGTTCTTCGTCAGCATTGGCCGTTCTAGATGGTGAATAGTTGGAGAAGATATAGCTGTTAATCTAGCTAGCAAAGTTTATTCCGCAATACACAAACATGACATGCTCATTTAACTAGTGCTTATGTATTAAAACCCAAAACCTTAAGCACACAGCCTTTATCCGCCCATATGAGGTTGGTTATATTGATTACTATCTCATCATTTGTGTTCTCACAGTTTTATGTCCCATATCATATCATAAGTTTATGACATTTTAAATAGTTGTTGACCTAACAATCCCTTCACCACTTTAGACAGGCTTACTTTTAGAAATACCCTTGTCATTTATCTTTTCAAGTGTCAACTCATTGAGTAACATCCTACAAGGTGTATTTTTAGGATTCATGACATCAGTTGCATTATGGAGAATGCCTTCATATTGGGTATGCACAGCATTACTATGGGCAAAAGTTTGTGCTGGTTAGTAGCCACCGTGATTGCAGTTTAAGATACTTATCTCTTTATAGCATTATGCCCTCTAGTCCAGTAGTCGGACAAGTGAAGAATATCTTCAAATTCAGTGTGCACAAAGCATTTATCGGGGACAAAAGTTTGTGCTAGTTAAGAGCCACCATGATTGCAATTTAAGATTTCTGGCATCGTGGTTTATAGTCTAAATAGATTATAGATAAACTGAGAAAATGGCCTTGGATTTGGTGCCATAGACCTAAATAAGTAGATCATTGTGTGCAATGACTTTGCAAATAATGTGATACAAATGGAAAAACAAAACCGTGAATGAATCACATTATTTTTTTTCTGTAAAGATGAAACATAATAAAATTCATTTGCGCCCAACCATTCCAAATGGGTGGCGAATTTCTTTCATTTTGGTTTAAAGTTTGACAGGTGATTCCTCATCATGTCGTATTTGATGCTTGCAGATGGGACCGGTGTTAAAAAAGACGGTGGAATCTTTCCGTCTAATAACTCCGACTGAGAACTATGTGCCTCCGTACAAGGATCCTTGGAGATTTTGGTGATAGCTCTTTCTCCTTGTATTCACTAGCTCAGATAACCAAGATTTCCATTGATCCTTTAAGCTTACATATGAAGTGGGTAACCACTAGCTTAGGAATTTTGAGGTTATTGTTTTTACGTGTTAATTCATGTAGAGTTTCTAGTGCAAACATTGTTTAGGAGAGATGTTTTCAGAAGGCTTGTTGCCATTGAATGCAGAATGTGCCCTGAAATGGGAGAAGATTTTGGACAGTAATATTTGAATATAACGAAAATGTATTGGCAATACACTAATTTATACTGCAAACGCGGATAATTGTTCTAAAAAGGGTAGATAATATCATTCCTAACTTTCTCTTTTCCTTCCCGAAAACAAAATATTGGAAAAAATAATTGTTTCTATATCATTACACTAAAACATTTTCGAATTTCCTTGGAAGACATCATTATCATGCTCAACACTCTTGAAATAAGCTTCTCATCAGTAAATTATACTTCGGGAATTCAATCAAAGGACTTGTGTACCAATTGAAGAGAAAATAACTTTCTCAAGCACAGCCCTTCGGAGTTCGGAGTGTATAGTTTTTTTGGCTGCTCCCACAGACATACAAGCAAAATCATAATCGATTCCTTGTGTCGAAAGGCTCCCCACATTGCAAAGGAGAGGGACGTTTTTTATGCAAAAAAAAAAAAAAAGGTGCTAAAAAAATCTTGTTTGAAATGTTTTTCAGTGAGTATGAAGACTACATTAATTAAAAATTTCGAAAAAAATTACTAAGAGCCGGTTTCAAACAAAGCCCCGTAGTATCAAACAATCAAAGAAGCCCAAAGCATACACAGAAACTCGCAAAGATGCAATCTGAGCAAAGAATATTTTCATATATACATTAATCAATTACAGGGTAGGGATTGTTTGTTCCCTACAAGTTCCCGGAAGACATGGGGTGCAGAAGGATCGGTATTTACAGAACGAATAAGAACTACATTTGCAAAAAATAGTTTGAATATGGGGGCCTAGTCTTGAGAAGTGGTAGAATATTCAAAGAGGAGACGTTTAGATGGGGCAGACTGAAGCAGCACACGCAGACGGCTCGTAAGTTGGTAGATCAAAGTCCATTGCATAGCCATCTCTGAGTCCTTCATTTGCCTCACAACGGATGCCTGAAAATCCGACCAACAAAATGTGACTTCACATATCATTAAACCATAGATGGGGTAGCAAAAGGTACGTCCCACGAAACATTTTAGCCTCTAACAAGTTTCAACTTCTAGTTCATCTTTCGCTCAAGAGTGCAAATTCGAAAAAAAAAAAAAAAAATTAGCCTAAACCCAGATTACTTGTCTTCTTCCTTGTGCCGAGTTTTGATAGCATCAGTTTAGATCAAAACAGTGACAAGCTTAATGAGAAAGTTGAGACATACCTGCAGACGCTTCCCTAGCTGGATTTCCACTTCTGTACCAAATGAAATATTGCTAGCTAGAGATTTAAGTGGATCAACCGAGGGATCAACAGACAGCAAACTGGGAATCTGAGGTGCATATACTAGCCTCCACCTGGCATGTCCGAACTCCCCTTTCCCTTCTATTCTTGGCATTAACTGTTCAAGAGTTGCAGTGGCAAGCTTTTTAAATGCAAGCTGGCCATCACCTTCAAGGATAGACTCGGCCAGTTGACTTTCAAACACTCTGGCAGCCTGTTCAGTCAGAAACAAGTACATCGTCGTAAGACAATGCATTTTTCCATATACTAATCAACTAGTTCTGTTCCCATCTGTAACTATCACATTGGGGTAGACAACAAAGCTTAAATTGGTAAGCCATTTTGCCAAGGGCAACTACCTCTGCAGTGTGTTGTATTCATATGGGAGCTAATTCATTTCTTGTATGCATTCTATCAAGCTGTTAATACATCCCTAAATCCATCATGAACACCACGATATTTGTGCAAGGGAATTCAGAAGAGTTATACGACTCAAAGACAAGTAATTGCGCACATTCACACTGAGCATGTAAGAGTTCTAGGTTCCTAGTGAGTGTTACAATTGTACTTATCTAATAAAATAGGAAATAGCAGACACTTCCATGTTTGAATTGTTACCTCAGAAGGTGATAGAACATCTTGTTCCACAGACCGTGTAGAGGTGACGACCAGCTTATCCTGCCATTGGCTTGCCGGACTTTGAATTCTAAATTGCCACTCAGACCCAACTAGAGCCAAGTCCAGCAATGGGTCAAGCCCATTATCTGGCTCAAATTTTGCTATATTCAGATGCTCTCGCTTAAGCCTTACCTGTGTTAAATACAAATTGCCTTTCACTGGAAGAGCTTCTAAACATTGGGACTAAATGGACATTTGATCTTTGCATAACAGCAATAGGATATAGTGGAGTTTGTAAGGAAATAAACCTGAGTTGCGACAAGATTCACATCTCCATTTTCAAATGTTAGAATGCCTTTAGGTTTTATCCATTTGGGACGAGCTATTCCATTCAATTCAAGCTCTCCACTGACAGCAAAATTAAGGATCAATGGATAAACTATCCTCAATTCTGGTCCCAAAACAAGCTTCAAGTCACTGAGGCGAACATCTACTTTGGGCTTACTACTGACTTGGAGCATCCCCTTTTCATCTTCTGCTTGTTTACCTGAAAGTGGTCAAAATTTAGTGAATTGTCACTGGTGTAGTGATATTCTGATGCACTGCCATGATAAAACGTTTCTCATGCCAACCAGCAAGCAAAACAGAAGCCTTAAGGAATGAGTACACATATTTTAATCTGTATTTTCATTGACAATATGAAAATTACAAAGCAATTATTGTTTACACTTCTTTTTTCCATTGTATACTCCATATGTCCAATGCATATTTATACAAAGTTCCTTAAGAATGGTAATGGAGACACAATCCCCTTCTTCTCCTTTGATTTGAACATCAGTGGTGTGAAGCTCCACTGCTGCATCATCATGTGAAACTGTAACTTTTAGTGGGAAAGGTATCTCTGACATCCACCAATATGTAAAAGAATATAAATTTTCTGGAAGTAGGATTTACATAGACACTACAGCTTCTTTACCCTATCAGTGGCGTAAATATTAAAAGCCGAGCCAAAAGAGGAGAATTTCCCACAAAAATATTCAAAGCATTGGCACCAGAACAGGACTGGTGCTTAAGTTCCAAGCAAATTCCAGATTTTCACCCTTTTCTCCTAAGAGTAGACGTGATGCAGTTGAACCTATACCCCCACATTGAATTTTATAGAACCCTACTCAAAATAGAAATATCAAAAGTGAGACCATAACTTACCAGAAACTTCACGATCTGTGATGTTTGAAGAAACAGGTTTCAAGTTAAGAAAACGAGACACATATTTTGATGCAACAGCACGGTTGTAACCACCAACTGGGACCCCAGCCTGGTTAGACACATCTCGGTTGAATGGAGCTGAACCACTACCCTTGTCATGGGGTATATAAGCCTCACCATGACTTAATTTTGTTTTCCCTGATATGGTGGGTTGCAATATGGAGCCACTTATCTGCAACTGGGTATCCACCTGACCACTATCACAAGGATGAACAGATAGATCAGTTTATGAAGTTCGGACAACAAAGGGAATGAATAGAATTCAAACTGGAGGTACAAATCACTATTAACCAGCAGATGTCTTTATGGAAAGAATAAGTTACTATACAAAGTGTTGACCAAGAAATAGGAAGAAAAGTGTCAGAACAGGACGTATAAAATGATTGATTTAAACACAAATAGAGCCATATCAGGGATCTCTACATCGGGACTAGGCATAATAGATAGTAGAATGGTCTGCTCGAGGTCATGATCCTCCTTAATTTCCAGGGAACATTCGATAGGCAATATATAAACAGAGAAATGCTATATACAAATAACAAATGACTTGTTAAGTAGATGGATGATGTGATCTGTTGCTTTGAGACCTAAGAAGATACAGGTGATATCTCAAGATAGAAAAGAAAACCAAAGAACTTAAAATAAGAAATCATTTAAGCGACTGCGCTAACATGTACAAATAGATCCTTATAATTCTTATCCTCACATTCAGAAGATATTCATAAACAATGCAAAATCTCAAGTTACTGGCAGACCATAGATTCAAAACCTTGAAATTAAGTGAGTATCCAATAGCAACCAATTAAAAGCAGTACAAGTAAAGATGACCAACCTAAAAACATTCTTGGCCCGCACTTCCAAGACTTCACATTTCAGGTCAATTTTATCACCAAGAGACTCCTCACTTGTTCTCAAAGGGAGGTTGCCTTTCACAGAAATTTTTCCTTTCCTGCTTATTCTACCATCCAATGAACCAATGCACAGTCGATTTGAATCCACGAGAACCGTGCCGCCAACATTTGTCAAAGGTTTACGAAGCACAGGTGAGGATATAGTCGCCCGGTGGAAAGATGCAGAACCATCTAGGACTGGCTGTTCAACTGTACCTCGAACCTACGTAGACAAAAACATAATTGTTATCATATCAGAAAATATCACAAGGGGTGAAGAAAATATATTTTCTTCTTTCTAGAAAGTAACAAACACACCTGAAGCATCACTTCAGCGTTTCCATGCAGCCAATTGGCATAAGGAGATAATGCTGTCAATAACATCATGCCACCGTCTTTGATATCGGCATCAACCCTTACTTCTCCAGCATCCAAGATATTCCAGTTTAGACCTTTGAGACCTTCAGTCAATTGACTATCCCAAACCTCCTCATTCCTTTCTCTGGAGCCTTTTCTGTCACTAGTTTCATCACCAGACCCTTTATTCCTTTCAGACGTCCAATTATCTGACCATCTTGCCTCACTTTTATCCGTTTCAGCACTCTCCTCCTCCATTACGTTGTTTTGGACAAATGCCACTGGAATGCTTCCTTGAACATGCACATGGCCATTTTGGATTATAGGTTCAAATTTTGCATTGAATAGAAAACGACTTGTAGATGTTAGAGATGCAACAATTTCAGCTCTCCCAAGATCAATTCCTCCAATAGCACCATCCAGCAGCCTCACTTGCACATCGCATTCTGGCTTAGCAAGACTTCCCCTGAGATCCCCTTCCATATGTAGAATGCCCTTAATTGGAGCTAAAAGTTGCCGCAAAGAATGAACGGCTTCAGTGGCTGAAGTTTCTATAACCTGAACCAAAGTAGGAACAAAACTAACAGGGAAATTCAGAACAGCAAAATGCAAATTAGTTTTAGGCCCCAACAAGGTCCCATCTGCATGGATAGTGGCATTGTCTCTCTGGATTAAGATTCTTTCAAGACGTAAACCATCATCATTGCTATATGCTCCAGCGGCCAAAACACGCTGAGTTTTGTAGGCTCCCCACTCCCATTCTTCCCCATTGAAGTCAAATTCTGCCTAGAAAAGATAACACAAAATACCTATCAGCGGGAAAACAGACCAACTGCAAAATTAAAGATTTCAAGATATTGACCCTGGTTCCACCAAAAAAATTTTCAGATCTCAAAGTCCAACACCATTTCAAAAAGAACTATTACTCAAGTTATGGAAGTCAACAAACACAAAAGACAGAGATTTCATTTCAATTGTATGAAAATGCTTAAGATACCGTAGCGCTAGTGCTCAAGCATTTGTAGATTAATATGTGTAAAATAAAGATGTTGGAAAAATCTCCCAAAAAGGATACAGAACAGTGCGTTGTCCAGTAGGATCTTTTATATACTTGCCAAAACAAAGATATCCAAAGAAAAGGATGAGAAAACTTCTGTTTTCACTGGCTAAATAAAAAGAGAAACTTCACTGGTTAGGACAGAGCAATGATACGAAGACACCACTTAACTGCAGAAGCTAGAGATAAGTAACTGCAAAATAACAGCAAATTCAACGGCTTAAAAATAAAGCAGCAAATTTACTTATTCTTATCAGAAGATCCAGTTTCAGCTATAGATAATCATGGGAGTTCAAACTACCTAATCAAGCTTTTTAAGAAAATGATAATCTTTTCTATTTACAAGAGGACCTCTAAGATGAAGATTAATTAACCAACACCACATATGTCTAAGCAATGTACCATTGTGTCTCCATTGCCACCCCCGCTTGCATCCAGAGAGCCATGCCAACGCCCTTTAAGTTCAGCTAAACCAGGAAGGTTGAAATCGTCAAGTACCACTTCATCAGACCAATTAGACAGACCTCGAATTTCCTGGAAAAGTTTCTATCATTGGAAACTGAAGCAGGACATAAAAACAACTTAACTTTGTAATTTCTGATTAAAAATAGCCCATGTCTGTGAAACTTGAAAACCCAATAGAATAAACACACCAATAGTTCAAAAGCTACCTCAAGCAATTTTTGAAGGCTTTCAGCACCTATCCCCACTGATTGCAAACTCTGGATAAAAAGGTCCTGAAAATCAATTTGAGGTGACGTGAGTCAGAATTTTTATGCAAAATCAGGTGCAGCAAGACAAAAAAATCTCAAAGAAGACACCACAAAACCTCAGTTTGTGAGGTAGCCAAGCACATTAACACTAGCAGCCTTAGAATATGTTGCTCAGAGAGACTTCTATAATCATGCCACCAACATGACCATTTTCAATACTAGAGAGCAAAAACAACAGTCCAAATAATTTGCAGGACCTTTCTTAACCATTACATTACCTCTCCTTTACCAGTAGGAAACCGAAGTTAAGAAGTAACAGACACTTATCTTCTTATGACCTCCATGCAAAATCCGTGAATGAATTTAATTTCTTCTCAATTATGGAGGGAGGGAGGGAGGGGGAAGAAACGAAATGGAGAACAAGAATTCAACCCAAATGCAAGCTATTATCAGAGCTTACCTATTCCAAATAGGGTTTGACTAAATTCTCTATGCTCTTTGATATTATGGTACTGCTGGAATTGACATGAAACTTCATGACTACCTTAATATGCTTTACCAGTAATAATCTTTGTGACTAAATACGAACAAAGAGACAGAATATTAGCAGAAGAAGCTTGAGATGGATGTGTGGACAAATTACCCTAGATTAAATAAGTAAAGAATGTTTGCATTAAGGAAAGAGACGGGGAAAAAATTAAAATAAATAAACAAATAAAATAAAATTTCAGGTACCCCAGATAAAAAAATGAAAGAAAAAAACTTGAGGTGATTTTGGCAAGTATCAGGCCATTTTGATGCCAAGTACGGCCCGTAGAAAACAGAGAACCATTAATTCAAATCGAAAAGAGAAGGCGAAGATGTAAGAAATATGAGAGGGAAAAGACCTATTAGAAAAGACTAATATATTTAAACCTAAATGAAAGTTTTGTCAGAATAATGTTCCTTCAGATTCTGCATTTACTGAAAATCAGGACAAAGATATTGATTAAAAATTACCATTTACAGCATCGTCTACATCAACACACCCAGTATACTCGGAATCAAGTTGAGGCTCAGCATTGTATAAGTAAAAAGTTAAAGAAACAAAAACCCAATTTAGTTGAAAGGAGAACAGATGCTTCCTATCACTAAATGCAATTTCGCACAAGGTTCAACTGCCGTGGACTCTAGGAAGAGTTGAGATAAAAATCACTCAACTAAATACATTTTGGCAACTACCAAGTACACTCCTATGTTAATAATGAAAAGGTGCCTGAAGGGTGGACGATAATTTTAACTTGAAATCTGTTGGAAGGTTAGCCAGGTTTATGGGAATTCATGAATTAGATCTCCCATTCAATAACTCCAGAGAAAACGTTCAATCTAAGAGGACCTGTCACATGTTCCTTACAAGAATTATGTGAAAGTTCATGCACAAAGTTAAATATTCACCTTCGATCTCGATCGCACAACAGGATCAGAATTTCGAGAAAGCAGCCTGGCAAGAGGAAGCATCTCAGCAATCTCAGCTCCAGGAACCTCAAGTCTCATTCTCCACCTACCCATGGAAGATATCACACTACCTAAATGTCCACTCATTGCTCTCCGGAACAAGCTGCCTCTTTTATTTCCAGCCGGAGTTCGATCTCGTGAACCAGGCAAGACATATTCTCCCTGAAGTTCATACTTGCTATTGCTCTGCTCCAACATAGCTTTTTCAACGGTGATCTAAGCAAGAAATAACAACAGCAACGTAAACAAGAAGATCCTGAAGGAATATGAAGTGAAGAAGTAAAGCTTGATTTTAGCATAAGACATCTATCAATTTGCTAAACGTTAGAGACACACACACACGTTGCATAAATATTCAATTGCCTCAATCAGGTGAAGAGAAGAAGAATATAACACAAATTAACAAACCACTCAAATATGAACCAAATACTTTTAAGTAGCACGTTAGAAACAACCAAGACCTGCTACATAAGTTCCGCAGCCAACTTATTTGGCTCTAATAATGGGGGGATAAACTCCTTACAATTCAGCTAATGACTAATGACTTTATTTGAAATCGCTAATGAAGGTAGATGTGCACATACACGAGTTTGTGCACACACAGATCCACAGATATTCATGTGGCACGTGCAAAGAAACTTTTAGAAAGAAATCAAATGAATATTCTAACGAAACCTAAGAGTCACATCATTTAATAAACCATTGACCTTCTAAGTGAAACATCTCATATTTTATTTTACACCATTTTGCTTATTCAGGGCAACCGTAGCGCTGCTCAAGCACTCATAACTTATTAACATAATAGTTCATGATCATTCAATAAACCATTGACCTTTGAAGTGAAACATCCATATTTTATTTTACACCATAGACTCTTTTGCTTATTCAGGGTTCGAGCACTCACAAGTTATTAACATAATAGTTTACGGTCATTTACCAATCAACATTCTCCATTCTCCATACAAATAAAAGCATTTAACTGAAGAACAAACATTAGAGTGCTTCTCAAATCAACTTTTCTAAGGTAAGGTGGTGACAACTGTTAGTTGATGGTATAGGCGGAGAACTAAAGTAAGAATTTCAACTGAGATTCATCAATTAGAGAGTTCTCTGTACATGAGAACATGATTCGATAGTTCATAAGCTTTGCAGCACAAAGAAAAAAGATATATGAGTTGCATTTCCAATGATAAGTACATTATATTCCAATAAAAATTCTTGACTTGATTCAGGAAGAGAAGCAAGGGACCTTATTGCATATAAGTGAATGAGAGGAAAAAGAAACTATGATATTGTACTTACAACATCACCACTCCATCTAACGGCGACATCAAGAGCTTCCCCCAAAGCACCACTAAATTTTGGCCGAAGGACAGACAAGACCCCGTGACCTCTTCTTTTCTGAAAATTGAGTTGAATTTCTGCCTGAAAGTAAGAAATAGATGTTCAGTCAATTAAGTAAAAAGAATAGCTGGCCAAAACTAAAGACTAAAATTATCATTTTTAAAGGTAGAGCAAACTAATTCTTTCACTGGACCAGACGCCGTTCCTTATAAATTGGGCAATGACTACCAAGTTTACAAAAGTTTGATGTCAACATCTGCAAGCATCAACAATTGCAAGGCAAAATGTGTAACTTTTAACTTTGTCCAAGAATCTAAGTCAAATAAGGTAGACCAGCTAGTCAAATATAGTAGATCACCCAACATTTCTCCCGGAACCTGTTTGTCTCTTACTAAAGGCTTATGCATAAAAATTGTTACGAAGACACACAAGAGTAGACAAGAAGCAAAAAACTGACACATAAAACCAACTACTGCAAGCCTCCTGACAATCCGTATAAAACCCGTCCTGTATTCCTTCCTATTCAGCCCAAAATGAAACTCCATTACAAAAGAAAAAGTTTTAAAACCAATGCTACTTCTTTTGTATTTTTTTTCGATCTTCACCTCATCTTCTTTAAATTGGCACCTTGACCACCCAAGTTGTGAAAAGTTTCTCCCCTAACCAACATACCAACGCAAATTCTTCCCCGCTATGAACACAATCAAACTAGAAGATCTTACTATGTTACTTAAACAGGCTAGTCTATGGCAAATTTAGCTGCCAAATATTCACAAATCCATATAAAAAAAAATCCAGTGCATGAGTTGGCTTGCTGTTTTTTATATATATTAATAAGAAAATTAAAGCACGGAGCTATATATAAGACCATCAGCCTTGGATGATAGTACATGTATCATCCATGTTTGACAGATTCCCTAACTCTAACAGTCACAAGTCTAACGCATCAAAATTTTCATGAAGCTTATTGATGATATCTATGTGGCAGTTGAGCATACTACAAAAAGTAAATAGCATAGGTAGACAGTATCTCCACTTGTGATGCCAGGCATGATTGTTGCAAGGGCATGTGGTTATTTCATGAATCTCATAAATAAATTATATTCATAAAGGTAACAAATACTGTATACATTCAAATGCTTTCAATGTAAATCCGTAGAAGTTTTGTCCTTTACTAGAGTCTATTATAAAACAATCTTTGACGTGTCCAATAATGTCCAACTAATAATTTTCCAAATTTTAAAACTAACGCGACGTAAAACTAGAAGCCAGAAATAAGGTGTTTAGAATCAGAAGTCCAGGAAATACAACTACCAATTTAATATATGGAGAAGAGATTGTTCTCATTAGTGAAAGGAACAAACTTTGTTAAAACGAATAAAAGTTCTGACAGATCAGGATTCTAGAAACTAAAGAAATGATAAGATTCTTGTTCGTTATAACCTAAGTTATAAAAGAATTTGAATAACAAAGGTATTTAGTAAATCAAGCTGTGAAGACAGCCATGGTGTTTTGGTGCATCACTATCACGTGTAAGGAACCTTATGGTGCATCATTCTATTATCAATTTCTTTTCTCTAATGTATAAACCAAAGTAACACATCATATAGTACATGTCGTGCGCCATGAAATACTACACTGTAGTTGGAAATGAAAGCTTGGCAAAATCAAGTTACGGATAGTATCTACTCAAAACAAACTTACAAAGAGGAAGCTCGTTGATATGTCACAGAACTCCCAACATAATTTCGACCGGAAAAATCCCAAGACACAGTTAAGCGCCAAAAATTTGAAATTAAAGACATGAATTAGTCCACGATGAAACAAAGAATGAGTACATGTGATCATAGCCTTGAAAATCCAAATTCAGAATAACTTGACAAATCATCAAATAAGAGCTAATGGAATTCTCAGTTAACCATCCTTCAATGGACAAGTATTTGGATGCCACAAGATGCAGCAATGTCTCTCATATCCCCATCAGAGGGATCCAATCATGAAAGGTAAACAAAAGATACACCCACACAGAGGAAACTTCCATGTTCCTCCGGGAATACAAAAGTACTAATAAACATTTTAAATGCCATCTCTTATCAGTATCAGAATTCAAAATAGTAATCATATAGTACTATGTGTACTACTGTAAGGAACACTCAAGATAACCGAGTACAGAGAACTGAAATCAACCAATCAAATATGAGGTACTTTCAACAATCTACTAGGAAAAGAGACATAGCTCTTTTAAGAATCTCATGGACAGAAATATCCTAATCAGTGAAAGACAGTAAGTTGTAAATATTTCATGTTACTAAGGCAATAAGAAGCTGGTCAGCGCTATGATAGACCTCATTTAGTCATCTGACAGTCCACAAATCTTACATTACTCATTGGTAACAAGCAAATCCTCGTTAAAACATGACAAAAATGTGAACTTCACCTTTTGAATGGAACCACGAAGGGATGCAAGCTCCAGCTCATCTAATGGTAAACTCCGTAGCTGGTTACATACAAGCAGAAAACCTTAGTTCACATAATTATTCAGCAATCTATAGGAAATAGTAACAACGAATAATGGGCTTCCAGCAGACACCAAAAGAAGACGAGCAGAAGAGAGAGAGGGGGTGGCGGCGGGAGAGAGAGAGACTAACCTCCAAATTAGCTGAATGTAGAGGCCGGTAGCAAGCAGTAGCCTTTAGATTACCCTTTTGAAGAGAAAATGACAACATTTTTCCTTTGACATTTTCTTCAGAAATCGGCTGTAGAGGCCCAACAATCTCCATCGCAAGACTTTCATCAGGTCTGCCAGTGGCATCCAACTGCAGCAACCACAAAAACCAAAACTTAAGCCATTTGAACAAACAAAAGGGTGATCAAAAGGTATATATAGACACAGAAACTATCAAGAGAATATCAGAGTCTGGATTGTTTCAAGCAGGGGCTGCAATTCAATTCTTGAAGTAAAACCAAGCAATTCTAACAGATTAGTCATCGAGGAGAATAGGTCTATTTGTGTGAATCAGAGACACAATATGTGGTCCAATAGCTAAATGTGAACACATAGGCAGACACAGATTCCCCCAAAAATGGTGTGACATAAGCCAGTACATTAGAGTTGAAATTTTGAACATGTGAACCCACTTATTAGGATCTTTGGTCCCTAACATATGATATTCCCTAACATAAGATGGTCATGCAACTTTTTCATGATATATACAAATGAAAATTGTTAGGAACTATCTACAATTTTTTAGCTTCCTATAGAAGCTAATTTCCCCAGTGACAAGAGACCCTGCACATTTTTTGTATAAATCTTAATTTTTATTATAATGAACAAGTTATATGATGAAAAAAATATTATCTTGTCAAACAAGTTAAAGTAAAATATTCCAAGTTATATGATCTTCTATACGAACCTTGATCCCCTGATTTGTAATGCTAAGTACTCCAGCCAACTGAGGTGCCAGCGTTAACTGATTCAGTTTCAGACCAGACATCAGAACATCACCAGAGAGAAAATGTGCCGCACTAGCATCCTCTTTAACTTCCAAACTATTCTCAAATTCATGGTCTTGACCATCACTGCTGCTTGTCTGATTAGTAACCTTCCCTTGAAACTTAATCCTCCCAGTAGCTTTCAGATGCACAGGTCTTAAAGAATCCAAAGCGAAGGACGAGTCCAAGCTGAAAAACTCAAAACCACGCATTCTCAAATCCAATTCAACTCCTTCCACAACCAAAGAAAAAGGGATGTCGGTATCAAAGTCCCTCTCATTTAACCACTGTTCATGAGGATAAGATGTTAAAACTTTTGTGTTCAACTCGAAAGCAACTGATGAAGAATTGATAATAATGTAATCATGTGCGATTATAATATCTCCGCGGGCATCAGCAAGTGAACCTTCAGCTCTAGGTGCTGTCCACTTAATGTCAAACCTCCTACAATGAAATGCATTAATCTGTTAGCCCATACCTATCGATCAGAATGCATATCTCGAAAGCAAATACGAGAGCCATTCATTACAAATCAAAACTCAGGTTAAAAATAGCAAAATAGGCAACAGAAATCTTACGGTCTCAGTAAGGACCCAGAAAGTTTTGTTTCTCCATTTAATTCCCCTAACTTAAGGGGCATCAGTTGGACATAGCCAGGTATATAACGGTGCATAATCTTATCAAAGCCTAAATTCCCTGAAAAGTTCACATCCATTGCTGTCTCATCATCTTCACCCTGGAAAATGAAGCTCAAAACTAAGCATTATTAGGCAAAAACTGAAGCTTTAAAACACTATTAAAGGTAACTAAAAAGTACACGTGTACAATAATGAATAATGATCAAACAAGGACTAAAGAAGTTTAAACAGAGAATCATTTCCAACACTAAAGAGGTATCAGTTTGATGCTTTAATAACTTTGTAATGCTTCAGCATATACATGAATGGAACATAAACAATTTTCTTTGAGAGGGATTTGATTGCATTTCTTTATGTGACAAAAGCTCATGTCGGAAATCAATCTGTAATTGAGTCCAACGACTTAAAACACAGAATTATCAGTAATCTACTTTAAGAAACTAAAAGTTCAGCAGAAGTTCTCAAGAGAACCACAGCATAATTGCTGTCTAGCTACTTCTGTCGAACTGTAACTCAAGTAGTCTGCAATTTACAATTGTTCAGCTACAAGGACAATCCCAAATAGTTGAAAATGATTACAGGGCTGAGAGTGTTGAAAATAGTTAAGTCATAACAAAGGGAAAAACTTAAGCATAGCATAATATACAGTTCAAATCTACTTCATGGAGCACAATAAATAGTCAAAGATGCAAATTTATCCCATTCAGTTCATATTTACGATAAGAAAACTGTATCAGATAGAGAGGAACCTCAGGGCATATCCATGCATTTCCTGCTCCACGAATTTCACCTCCATCTAGCAGGTTGGCTCTAATTCCATACAAGTCGGCAACCTGCCAAGTGCGATAAAAGTGTAGTACAAATATCAAAAATCACAATAAATTGGATACAGTAAAACATAACTGAGTAGCAATTTGTCATCTTTAGTACTTACACAATTATCAGTGTTGAACGTAAAATTAGCAGAAACATATGAAAGGGGAATGCGATCAAAAACTGCAACAGCACCGGCCTCTTTATTGTCCATCATTACTTCATATGCGGCAGAAGCAGGAACATCAGAAGTCAAATGCAACATTTTCCTAGACACAAGTGCACTCCCAACGAAAATAGGAGCGTCTAAGGGGCCTTGACAATTGAAGACAGCTGTTACTGAACCAGCCAACTTGAGAGAGAGACAGAATATACAGAAAATGTTTAGAGCATATCGGAAGATCAACCTCATGGCACACAGTTCATTGAAAATGTAAAATTCCTCATCAATGAGCAATTGCATCAAAAACTTCCATAAGCAACAAAGGACACATATTTCATTCCTGTATTTTTCTAAAAAAAAAGGATTAGCATTAAACCCTAAGTGTTTTCAGCGGAGTTCCATTTTGATCTCTATGTTATATAAATGTGTTTTGCACCCCGCCTCTCCATTGGTTGTTGGTCATGTGAAACAAAAACATAATCTAAAAAGAAGTAAATGTCCCTGCATGTTTGCTGACATCACCATATTCTTATAAATGATAGTAGTGTATGACTCTATACTTCCGTAAGGCCGTAACTACATTGAACCTTTTTTGTTCCTTATAAATTTTCACTCAACCCAAACCCAACCCAACCCAACATCTTTCCCCCCTCTCAACTAAACCCCACCAACCCATGGTTTGTAATTGTGTTCCTTCTCATTAGCCATAGCCAAATGAGCAAGAAAACAAAGATATTCTGAATGGACATTAAAGTCCTTAACTTTTGTTGACATCGCTATATTCTTGATACTTTTATTACAGAATTTTCCTCCCACATTCGGACATTTAAGTCCTTAACTTTTGTTGAAATCACTATGTTCTTGATATTTTTATTACAGAATTTTCCTCCCACGATAAAGTCAATGTTACCGCTTTTATAATTCAATAAAACTCAAATAAATTATTTATTGGCAAAGGTAATAACTAACAACTACAGGTCTAGATCTGTTCCACTTGTCAAATTTAACTGAGTAATAGCCCAAGCTTGACTCCAAATAGTTATAGAGGGCTCAAGTTCGATCTAAAGGCCAGGTAAAGAGGATTCCAAAGCCTAAAAATTGCACTTTACATGCTTTTGGGTGATGAGTACTAGAATGATAGATATTATTAATCAAGTCTTTAAAAACAGGAACTCGAGTTGCTTTCAGTAATTCTAGTTTTCGGTTGTTTAAGTGTGTTTCAGTCAAATCGCTGCTTTGCATAATTTTTCAGAATTCTAGACTTCCCGATTTGGAGTCTGCATTCCTGGAAGTTCTTACGCCTTACTGAGTTTATTCATACAAGTATTACCCTTTTGAAATTAAGTACAAAAGCACTTCATTCCTTTGGCAAGTAAAAGGTGAATATTAAGTTGAGTCTTACTCTTGTACCTTAAAAATAATTTACCTCTTCAAAAGGAAATTTGACAGCTGAGTTAACAAAAAATTTCTGAAGTTTTCTCTTCTACAAGGGTTGTGAATGCAACTTTGTGTCACCTAAAAGTTCTAGGGTGGTTTCTAGAGAGACATATTTCCAGCAGTTTTCTCATATAATGTAAATTATGGTTGTCTACTTTCCTTAATCCCGGAAGTAATTCCAAAGATCCATTTTCCCTGAGATACACACTTGTGCTGCATCAAATTCAATCGACACTTGTGCTGCATCAAATTCAATCGGTGGTTAAAATTTTCATGAGCCCCCTCCACCCCCTCCCCAATAAGGTTCGTATTAGCTTTGAAAAATTGAAGTGCTTTACATTCATCAAGGTCCTGATACAACACTTCAGAATCACAAATAATAAACAGTCCTAATTTCCAATTTAAACTCCCACCACCATATCCACTAAAGGAGGTTTACACAGGATGCATCTGCCAGGACAGCTTTTAAACCAAATAGTATGCCTAAGCAATACAATGTGAACTGTGCGGAGGATATTCGCTAATTAATTGCAACCAAACTTCAAGATAAATCTTGTTTAGGTAGCTTAAATTGTAAGACAAGTTAATCTTACCCTATGCTACTTGACAAACCCTGTTAACACTGTGGCTTGAATTATTTGAACCAAAGAAATAATTTTAGCTAAGATTTGTTCGGGACATGCAAAAACAGCTAGGCAACATACAGATCTAACAAAAGGAGAACATTATGAGAATTTACCGGAAATAAGAAAGGCTTCATCTTGAAAGTTTTCATTAATGCATTAACTTCAACAGAAGGAACCTGAAGAAAAAGGGATAAACCCAGGACTACTGAGAAACAAGAGCAAAAAGGACAAAATGAAGAGAGTAAAATTAAAGAACGAATCCTCAAAGATGAGCTACAATTCCAACTTTCTCTCAATGAGGCACCTATCGGTAAGTGATAATCAATGATTTCATCAAAACAGCCAACCTGACACATGAGATGAAATACTCCTAGCTCAGGGTCAATGCCAAAATCTCCTGAAGCCTCTAATGGTACTTTGCCAAACCAGCCACTAGCATTGTGTAGAAATATTCTTTGAGCGCGGAAACATAAACTAGCAGACACATCCTGGCAGAAATGCACATATAGTCAAAAAGACGGCAAAAAATTTGCATAGAAACACTTGCAGCTACATCAGAAGTAAATACAACCACTATCAACGATATGTGCACACACACATGCTCCAAGCATAAAACAGTAGGCGACTGGCGCAGTGCTAACTAACTAACGGAAAAGATGGTTTCAGTATCTTAGTAACAAAACCTGCAAGTTGATATAACACTTAAATAAATCACATAAGCATGGCCACATCTATTCTAAAGCATTTCAGAATTTCAAACATGGAAAACAATAAATAAAATGAAAAAGGACTCCTATGTACATAGTAAACTACCTTGAAGAGTTTTTTTCTATTTTCTCACTCATCTAATAAGGTTACATCCACCTTCTTTCTCATGCTTTCGTTAAAATATGTATACACTCTGGTGTGAATCCACATCCACCAAACATTATCATCCAGCCACTCGAATTTGAGGTTGATTTTCGTATAAAGTAACCAACCATCTAAATTGCAAATATTTGCTGTTCCTATAAATGTTTTTACAAAATTTTGTTCATATTTCAGTAGTAGTCATCATAAAGTATAAAGGTGCACTTGTGTCTGTGTTTAAACCAGAACTTTCTTAATGAAGAATTCTTTTTCTAAAAGTAGAAAAACAAAATTTTGAGGGTACTTTTCATTTGGAGGGATAATATATATATATATATATATATATATATATATTGTGTGTGTGTGTTTGATAATGGAAATAATATACAGTAACTGAGATTTTGGAGAGATTTAAAGTATGAATTATAAAATTCCATTCACTTTTACTCGTAATCTCTACTGTCCAGTATTTCAAAGGTGACAAGCTGTGTCCCCATGCTTTTCACCAGATTTGTTGAATGTGACCGAGGCATGAATTAATAGATTAACCACGTCAAACTCAGTTAAACTCAAACTAACCATAATTAACAAATTAACATTCAGTGTGTTAGCTCATAAAACATCAGGAAGCACATATGATAGGCGATCTTTCAGACACTCAATTATCTGACCTCGACCCAATCTGACAAAGACAGAGAAGTTTATACCAGTGACTAAATTATTTAAAAATATATATATAGAAAATAAAAAAAACAACAAAAAAACAAAAGGAACCAAATAACAAATTTTCAAAATGCACTTTTAACCATTTGTTGGAAATTTCTCTAATGATAGATTTCCTCAAAAGGTTCATCACTTCAGGTAAGTCTTTTTTTTAAAAAAAAAAAAAGAATTTCATTAACTCTGACACAAGGATCTTCCAAAATTTTCAACTTACACTACAAAAATAGTCACCATGCAGCAAATAAATGTACCAAAAATAATGATTCATCGACATAATCACTCTATTGTTCAATGTTCCTAAGGGACATGCATGGAAGGAGAAAAACACAATTTAAGAAACCACTTATACAACAACGTACAGAAAACCTTGATGGGGCATCATATATATGGAAAGCCAACCCGGTCACATCAAGCTGTCCATGAAGATTAGGAAAAGTTTCACCATTTGACATGCATATATGAACCTGAAAAACATTACCAAACAAAGACAAATGAGAAATATTAAATCTAATTTCCTAGCAAATGATATCAGCGAGCATGTGAATAACTGGAATTTCTACAAGTTACCAAACATGATATCTCAAATCTGTATTTTCATATCTAATGTTGCAAACAAAAAGTTCCCTATAACTAAGGAAACATATTTAATTAATAAGCCTACAAAGTTTTTTAAGTCTTGAGGAAACAATAATTATAGAAATAAGCAATACTTGGATCGTGGAATGTTTAACCATGCTCCAAAATATTGTTATATGACAGTCCCAAAATCCCCATTTGTGAGATATACAACCCAAAAAGCTCAGGTGAGTGGTAAGAGTAGAAAACCTTGTAACATAAAAATTTCCACAAGGGTAACCTTTGAAGGCCTGCACACCTGTTTCTCAAAGTAATTAATAATATTCACAATTTTCGATTAATACCACATTTCAAAATCTAGAAGACTGTGAAAAATAGGCACACAAAACTTCCTAACTGCGTTTTATATGGTTCCTACTCCAACAATCTATAAGTAACGGACAGCTGGAAAGCATGATATATGCCAAGAGTAGAGAAGGAACATACAAATAATAAAGACAAAGACTACAAATTTATTAGCATGTTAACTAATAGAAATAAACTTTTATAGGAAAAGAAGTACCAGGAGGTATCCTTGGTAAAAAAATGTGATTAGATGACAAAAGTAGGGGAAAAAATTTGAAGTAGATCAGAGGAACTACCAGTGGCTTCCCCAGTTAAGAAATTACACTATCAAAATAATGCCTTTGAAGCTATATGACCTAAACATAATCAGGGAATCAGAAAAATTGTAAAAAAGAATCACACACCTCACCACTAGCTCTTCCATTGCTCCACGTGATTGGAATATCCAAAATCCTTTCAAACAGCTGAGTGAAAAAAGGGTCAAATAAGATTACGACAGGTGTAATAGTATAGTTTCAGTGATCAGAAAACAAAGGAGATAAAGGCTTCCTCAGCCACCGAGTTCTCAATCTTAAAGCAGATCTTCATATAAGAAGGAAGATTACCGGTACAAATAAGTTCACAACTTTCAAATTTGCGTGCCATTTCTGCTCACTGATATCAACATAAACATCCGTGGATAGCCAGCCACCATCTTCAGATGACAGAGCTGATCTCCACGTCTTACAATCGCCAGACACCTGTACATGCACACGTCCATAGTTATTTTTTAACTTTACATGTCCCAGGGCATTGTCCATCTCTCTGCAAGTGAAAAAGAACTATCAAAAGATGCCAAAAATACAAGGTGTCCGTATATCGCTAAAAAAATGAAAGAGAACCCAAAGAGAATGCAAATGGAAGAGCCTTCTGGAAACAGAAAAACACTATACAAACCAAATTGTTTTTTATCAAGTCAGGAATATGAAGCACATAGGAAAGGAAGTTCACAAGCATCACCCTCTCTTACGAACTGCACCTATTCCTCTGTTCATAACAAAGATGAAGCAACATGATACGTTCAAAGAGCATGCAGAAAAGAAGGTTCACTAAAAACTGCACCCAGACAACAGGTAAACAACTTGGACTCAATTACACCAATTACACTACAATTCTTGGTCAAGTTTCAAAGAGTAATTTCATTTAGTTAATGGATAAGATACGGACAAAAAGATTAAAATCATCCAGAAAAAGTTAGTGTTAAATGGAGCTGCAATACGTAAGCAACCTAAACACATAAGCACAAGATATACTCTTTTGCCTCTAAGATTATCAGTTTCTTATGAGATTGAAGCGCGAGGTAAATGGAGTTGCATCGTAGAAATCGAGAAGAGTAGCAAATAAGTGTAATTAGACCTGCGATTAGTTTCCTGTAACTAGAATACCCTTTCTTAGGTGAAACCCAACCAAAGTGCTCGCCTTGAGAAAAATATTAGATCAATCTTTGGCTTTTGATGTTTTACAAAAATGCTTTCAAACCACTTCAAAATATCATCTTTACCAACCTTCAAAGGTCAGCAAAAGACCAAGGACTAACTTCCAACATAACGGTAACAGCAAACACGAGAAGCCGAATTGTTTACTGCAGGCAAGACTTCCATCCTTAACAGAATGACCGGACCCCAGTCCAAGTTACAACAATGTGGAGAAAGAAGATTCTTAATTACCAGTTCAAACACCAGGAATGATCTGATCAAACAAAGGACTGCTCTTAGAAGTCACAAGTATACACCTCGGTCTATATACCTACACCTAAGTCCAGTTATTCTGAAAGAAAAGAAACAAATTTATATTCTTAAATCATTGCAGGATCAACCAGGTCACTCCTTGTCTGCCCGTTAACAATATAACTTCAAAGTCCTAGAATGAAAGGAATTTAGGGACAGGCTTTATTTTCAAGAGAACAAAGTCATGATACTTTGTTCTTTTCTTTTGATCTTAAAGCTTAGGAAAACACCACTTGATTGATGATATTAAGGAACACACCAGTTGATTGTTTTAATATACAAGAATATGCGGTAAGATAAAATATACAGTAAATAATAGAAAAGCTGTCTAAGTTCAGTTTTATTTCTAGTTTCCATCTCATGGATAAACTCAGCACCTCCTAACATTCTCCGATAGATAACCATGATATGAAACAAATAACATGTATCGCACAAACACCAAATCATGAACCTGCACTGTTACAACCCCACACAGACTGTATATTACCAAGAACCTACACTGTTTTGAAAAGGTTTGATTAGCACAGTTCCCTCTAACCTATATGTCTTTGAAAAAAGAAAAAATACAACCAGTAATTAAGCATTTGAACCCTGTGTAAAAAATAGAACAGAAGAATTTTGGATGAAAATACCGAATAGATCAATATCAGCCTTTTCTTTTAACAGATTTTGAGTTTCATCAATTCATTGCAATATTACCCCACCACAAACAGACAAATCTAATGATCAAAACAGTCTCAAAAGCATTTTCTCCACACTTCAAAATCTGAGAAAACTTTCAGGAAAGCTCCTCACGAGGATTCAAATTTCACACTAAATGCTGGGACATTTAATCTTGAGATTGTGTGAATGGTAGGATGGGAGACAGGGATTTAACAAAGCATTAACTTTCTGACCCAAGGAGGGATACAAGCTGCTTTTTAAAGTTCATTACAAAACAACTTAAACCTATACAAATGCAAAGAGCTTATATCGATCAAACCAAATAGAAGTCCAAGATGGAAAGGAAACTACATCCAGTTATCAACTGTCAAATCACAGATGCTTACCTTGGTTCAGTATCGCCATAGGCAAGCAGCAATAAGGTACCGCCTTTGAAATGTACTGAATCTAAAATGACAGGAATCTGATTCTGATTACCCATACTATGCACTTCATCTTCCCCATCCACTAGTTCTGCAACGATGTTCTCAACTCCCGGACCCACATTTGCTGTCAGCCTTTCAACAGGCCCAGAATATAAAGAAGACCACGCTTCACCCATTTTCTTGATCAAAGTAGAAAACCCAGGTCTCAGGCCCAAGGGCCAAGTCCCTGGATCTTGATCCACAGCCAATACCTCGTTTGTGTTCATATTATGACAGCTAAGAGTTTCTCCTACTGGGAAATTTTGCTCTGCATTACTTTCAGATGCTTGGATCTGCTCAGCTGATCTGCTAAGTTCAGAATTAAGAACGGTAACTCCTTCATCGGAAAGTTCATTAATTTTGTCATCAGGTCCAGTTTCAGTAGATTCTACAGTACTTTGGGAGAGGGAAGAAAATTTCTCACCAGAATTTCTTGCTTTACTTAGTGAATTCAAAGTCGACAGAAACGGATCACCAATGAGACTAAAGCTACTTAGACGGAAGGCATCAGCAAATTGGTCATCACCCAGCAGTTGCATTTTTTTACTTCCTTCATGGGAGCTATTACTATTTAAATAGGTTCCCTTATGAGAAGAATCCTCATAAGCAGATCCAATACTTTTCTTCTCATCATTTTCCTTCTCAAAGTGGTGTGCGGAAATCACTTGTGCAGATATCACATCTCTGTCTAGTACATTCTGCCTCGAACTAGAAAGATTGGTATCACTCTCGTCTTTTGAAAGAGGAACATCAGGAATTTCAGATGATTGGGTAGGATTTCCAAATTCTTGATGTGATTGTCTCTGAAAATATACACACGCAGCTGATGCACTGCATTCAAGAATTCTACGTTTAGCGGCAACACTAGCTCCAGATGGATCTCCACCATTTGCCTTCCTCTTGAACTTTTTTCTTAAAGGACCTGGTAAAATTCTGGACCACCAGACGACACCTGCAGCTGGAACCTTTGATCCAAAAGATCTCTCTAGATCAGCATGTTTCAAATCATACTCCAGACCTGCATCCATGCAATGATGATCTCTCCAGTGAAGTTTCTCATCTGTAGAAAAAAATGATTCCAAAGTTGCCAGCCTTGCTGAAGGGATGACGTTCTCCTTCAACCCATCATCCTCAGCCTCAGTAGCACTATCTTCAGTAACCAGATAGCCCACTTCTGCAGCTTTCTTAGCAGAATCATCTCTCTCCACTGCCCAACGACCCGCAGCTTCTTCTCTAGCTATCCGCCTTGTCTTGGTACGATGATCAATCCCTTCTTCAGTTGATAAATGTCTTGGTAAGAAGCCCTCACTGAAAGGTATTCCCAACCAGGTATAATCCTTCTTTTGTGCCACCAATAATGTTGGATTAGACAGGACTGCATCGATCACAATCTTTCCCCTTTTGATGCTAGCAAACGGAAGAATGCGCAGTTTGACAGTAGGTACCTCAGCACAAGAAAACTCTTCACTATGGGGCCCAATCGAACATGATTCCAGAGTAATGCTTAAAGGTGAAATTCTTCGAACCTTCCCAAAATCAAGTTCTCGCTCAATATGTTCACTCAATAAAGCACAAACAGATGGCAACAGCTTCGCCTCAATGAAACTTTTGGTTTTCGATTGCCCATACCAAAGTAGCAAACAGATCCCCGAAATAACAGCACAAAAAATAGAGCATCTGAGTAGAAGTAACCCTTCCCCCCAAACGGGTGCCAATGATTCAACTAATGTCTTCCTACGAGTAAGAGGCTCCTTCACACAATTAACTACCCACGCACTTCTGGAACTTAAGTTCTTCCAAAATAGCTCAACATTTCTCCCACAAAGATGTGTAAATTTGACCCCACGAGATATCCATTCATTTCTTCCCACACATTGGCACTTTCTACGGATCTTTCTTGGAGGGTACAAAACATTTAAACCAAGCAAATTATTCCTGGGATGACAGTCATAAGGAACTCCAAAAAACGAGCTACGGAGTCCAACATTCATTATAAATGTACTTTACAGGGACCAATTCAGAAGTGCATTAATAGGGGACCAAGAGCAGCTCTTGGTCCCCTTTTCTTCTAAGCCCCTAAATGCAGCAGCTTGTCAACAGGTGCGCTAAAATAAAAACCTATATAAGAATGAAAAGCAGTAAAAACCAAGTTAAGCATTCTAAACTTCAAAATATCCATAGAGTAGAGCTTTCAAGCAATAGCACGTTAACTGGTAAAATTACTAAGCCGAATTTGCCAAAATCACAAATATCAAAAAGACGTGTTTGAAAAAGACGAATTGTTGAATTTATCAGGTATAGGTAGCAGTTATAGCAATCTATTCCCTCATAAACAGAAGCATAGATTAGTAACTAGCATAAATTTCGTTCCATTTTCATTTGCTCAAGAAAACTAACCGATGCAGAACGAGCATGACTACAACTACAAGAAGCAACCCTGACCGCCGACGTTATCCATATAGCTCCCGTGGTCAGAATTGTTTCTGGTTCCGTGCTGCCTCTTTTAAGCCCCCAATTCTGAAGAAAAAGATCTATGAAGGGGCTTTCAAAATTTGTGATTGAAGGAGGGGCTTCAAAGGTTTGAAATTGAAGGAGACTGGCTGAGGATGGAAACTGGAAAGCATAAATGTTCCGGCGAGCAAATTTGCAGCGGGAATATAAGGAGGAAGAAGATGACGTAGGAGATTAAAACAATAACTATTTCGAATCTCCGTAATCCTTTAAAAATCGACAGTATCGCGTAATTGTTGCTAAATTCCAAAACGAATTGGTTGCTTGCTTGATAACAGAGCTTTCCTTGATTCCCTTGTTCTTCCTCAACAGTGTAAATTGTAATGGCGAAAGAACAATAGAGAAAATTCCAGTGTGTGCGTATGTGTTACCCCAGTAGAGGAAAAGAGCGGAATTGAGTGCTGATGGCTATCTTGTTAGAGAATTTGGGGGGTTTATTTTTTTGAATTTGGATGTAAAAGGGTGAATAAATCTTGCACGCAAGAACACTGTTAAAAAGAAGCAATTTTTTGTGACTTGCTATTGTGCGTGCAAGGTTCTCCTTAATATCATTTCCAGGCCCAAAGAAGCCCCGAGCGTCACCACCGGATAGGGGCGGCTTTTTGTCATGCTTTAGAGGTTTATTTAAAATTAGTTTAAATTTAGGGGGAGGATTTTCCAACCACAACTTTTAATTCTTTCAGTCACAAATTTTCAATTTTAACTATTTTGTCCCTGCTATTTGACCAAACCAAATTAAAGGAGAGAGAGAGAAAGGGGGAGAGAGAGAGAGAGAGAATAAGCCACTCGCACCGAACCGGGCAAGTCAACGGGACGAGATTATAATGACTTAAAAACTAGATTAATTAATTAAAAAAATTAAAAAATTAAAACATAGCAATTTTTTAATTTAATTTTTTTAATTTTTAGACTTTTTTAAATAATAAATATTGCTATTTCTTAATTACAAAAAAATAACAAAAAATCTAAAAATTTAAAACGATTGCTATTTCTTTTAATTTTTATATTTTTTTAAATAACAAATATTGTTATTTTCTTAATTACAAAAAATTAAAAAAATAATAACAAAAACTCTAAAAATTTAAAAAATAGCAATGGCAATGAACCCATTCGGGCATCCACCCGTCCCGAATTAACTTTGGACGGGCAATGAACCCGTTTGGGCAAACAAGAGGGTAGGCGGTCCACCCGTCCCGGGTTAACTTGGGACGGTTTCATTGCATGGTCTGTCGGTTTTTTATTTTATTTTTTTATTTTTTATTTTTTAGTTTTCTCTCTAGTCAAGTTATTCAATTTGAAAAAATGACAAGGGTAAAATGATCCAAATTAGAAATTTGTGGCTGAAAGAACTAAAATTGGTGGCTTGAAAAACTAACACCCTAAATTTAAAGGCTCTGGTTGTAAATTTTTTTATTTTTTTTTGGGAAAGGTAGATTTGCATTGCTTTTCAAACGGTATATAGTATATACACTCCTATCCACAAGCTATTACACTGTTCTAAGTAATTAAAGTGATTTGCAAAACTGAATATCTACATCACTTAGTTTTTTGCAGTAGCTCTTCATTCTCTAATTCATCTTCATTCTTAACAGCTTGAAACGTTTTTCAGCACTTTTTGATTCATTCCTGAATTTCCTACAGTTCCTCTCATTCCAAATCTAGTATACCATCGCCTGAATTACTGCACATAGTATCTTTTGTTTGACTTTCCTCCTCTTCCAGCATTTAAGAATGCTGTTAATTCTGCTTCCCAGTGTGCTAATGTCTATGTGCAGGCCTATCCAATTCTTCACCATGTGAATCGAATCCTGTGACTAAGTACATTGAAAAAAGAGGTGGTGCACTGTTTCCAGACCCCCTGAGCATAGTTTAGGGCAAGCAAGAACCTGTAGAATCTTCATTTTAACAAGTCTTTCATATGTTAATAATTTATCCTTGATAGCCAACCAATTTATAAAGCGATGCTTAGGCACTGAATAAGCATTCCATACAAATTTGGTTTCCTGCCATTTCACTTGCCTTCCCTTCATTCACAGATAACCAGATTTTGTTATATAAGGCCTCCCTCCATTTGCTTGCCAGACTCCATTCTGAACAACTTGCTGAAGTTCATTCTTGATTGCCATAAGCCTTCTCCAATGCCAGCTGCAGTCCAAGGGTGGTTGGTACTCCCAGATCTCCTTCTATTTCAAGTAGTAAATGTGATTTCACTTAATTCACAAGCGCTCTTTCTTCCCAGCCACATCCCGTATATGTTTTCCTATTAGTGCTTTGTTCCAAATCCCCGGCCTTTTAATGTTCAATCCTCCTTCACTCTTCAACTTACAGACCTCGTCTCAAGCAGCTACAGAGAGAGCCCTTCCTGAGTTGTGTTTTCCCCAAAAGAAGCTTCTGCAGTATCTTTCAACCTGTACTATTACTGGCTGTGGCAACAAGAATAGGCCAGCCCAATACAAATTCAAATTTAATAACACAAAGTTGATCAGTTATAGTCTACCAGCATACGCAAGATTTCTGGTAGATCAGCATTTTAGTCTAGCTGTAATCTTCTCCACAATCAAATTACAATCTTCCTGGTTCCATGCAGTTGGAGAGATTGGGGCACCTAGGTATCTAATAGGAAAGCATCCTATTTGAAATCCTAGCACTCCTCGTATCTGTTCCTGCAGTTCCGCATTTACAACCCCAAAATACAGGTTGGACTTGTTCATATTGACTCTTAAGCCAGTTACTTCAGCAAACCTATCCAGGACCCTTTTGATCCTCCTTACTATTCCTATATCAGCTCGGTACAGGATGATCAAGTCATCCGCAAAACTGAAATTTGTGATTCTCAGTTTTTCATAGTAGGGATGGAATTTCAAATCTTCTCCTGCTTCTTTTTTAAGCAATCTATTCAAATATTTCATTACTAATACAAACAACAATGGGGAGATGGAATCTCCCTGCCTCAAACCTCTTTTTCCCCCAAAGTGCACCGTACTATTTCCCATTCAAATTGATTGAGAAATTACAAGTTCTAACACACTCCATAAACCCAGTTTACAAACAAAGGGGGAAAGTGATATTCCAACAGCATTTCTTCTAGAAATCTCCAGTGAGTGGAGTCATACGCTTTTTCCAGATCTACTTTAATAAGGAAACAAGGCTTCACATTCTTTCTTCTATACAACCTAACCATTTCCTGTATCAGCAGGATATTATGTAATATAGATCTCCCTTTAACAAAAGCCCCTGGTTTAAATCTATAAGGTCAGGGAGTACAACACTTAGACGTTTACTAATCATTTTTGAAATGCATTTATATATAGAGTTATAGCAAGCAATTGGTCTAAACTCAGTTGCATCTTTTGGGATTTTTGTTTTAGGAATTAGTGAGATCAACGTTGCGTTAATCTGTTTCAGCATTTTCCTTTCCCTAAAGAATTCTAAAACAGCTTTACACAGTACACATATCCTCTCCTACTACTTCCCATGATTTCTTATAGAAACCACTACTATATCCATCAGGTCCAGCACATTTACGTTCATCTATACTAAACATCGCATTTTTAACCTCCTTACTAGTGAAGCTTTGAACCAAGAGAATCTGCTGTTCTATAGACAGTTTAATCCCTGGTTCAAATTTTTCCTTAGTAATTTGGTTCCTTTCTACTTCTGTGTCTAATAGATTTTCAAAATAATTAACAAAATGAGCTTGCACCTGGTCCCATTGTTCCACCAATTCGCCTTCCTGATTTGTAAATGATAGGATTATGTTGTGCATTCTTCGCTTTTTCAGGCTTGCATGGAAGTATTTGGAGTTGAGGTCACCTTCATTGGTCCATGTCTTCTTTAGCTTCTGTTTTCAGTAGTTAATTAGGACTTTCTCAACTTCCACATAGTCTAATTTGTAAATTTGATAACACTAGTTTTGGGTTAAATAGCTTAGGCAACATTTGTACAGAAGTTGTTATACTATGCACATTAAGTGCATCTAACTAAGTGCACTTAAAATCCCTTTTTATTATTCAATAATGGAGGGACTTCATGAGTAATTATTTGACATACTTTGTTTTTCTTTTTCAATTATTTGACCTAAGCGCATCTAACTAGGTGCACTTAACAACCTTACATATGAGCATCCCTTAATTTTAAGAAATGGGTTTTAAAAATTTCTTTAATTTTTAAATGAATTTATTTCTTAATCCGTAAAGAATTAGACTAAGTATCTTATATCATTTTGATAGCACTCGACGAGATCTATCCAACAAGATCAATCATGAATTTATTTTTTGAAACTTAAAAAAATTTATTCAGTTACCTTGGTCTTTCTAAAAGACCAAGACCTAAACCAAAGACTAAAGGCCAAAGGCCAAAGATCAAAGACTAGCGTGTGTGAGGTGCAAAGACCATACCAAATGCCAAAGACAAAAAACCTAAGACCAAAGACGAAAGACTAAAGACCAAAGAGCAAAAACTATAGTGAAGAGCGAGCATGTGTAAGGAGTGAGCGCGTATGAATAGCGAGCGTGTGTAAGGAATGCGAGATGCCCACATAGCCTCCGCCGCAAAGAACGAGCGTGTGTGAGGAGCAAAGACCAAACACCAAAGCGCAAAGACTAAAAACCAAAAACGAAAAAGACCAAAAACCAAAGACCAGCGTGAGGAGCATGTGTGAGGAGCGAGAGATGGTCATGTAGACTCCGCCGTGTTTCAGTCGCATGCGCGGCCGTTTGAATAAAAATTGAAAACCTTTTTTCAGGAAAGATATCGGAGCGAGCGTGTGTGAGGAGTGGGAGATTCTCACGTAATATCCGGCTACGTGTGTTTCAGCCGCCTGCGCGGCCCTTCGAATATAAATTGGAAACTTTTTTTCAGGGGAGATATCGAAGCGTGAGTGTGTGAGGAGCGAGCGTGTATGAGGGCGTGTGTGAGGAACGAGCTTGTGTTTCGTACGCCTGTGCGGCCCTTCAAATATAAATTGAAAACCAATTTTCAGAAGAGATATTGGAGCAAGCGTGTGTGAGGAGCGGGCCTGTGTAAGGAGAGGGAGTGCATGTTTCGACCGGCTACGCGGTATTTCGAATATAAACTATAAACCTTTTTTCGGGAGAGATATCAGAGCGCACGTGTGTGAGGAGTGGACGTGTGTGAAGAGTGAGAGATGCTCACGTAGCGGAAAAAATGTCGTTCCTACCCAAAGCTTTGCCCTCGTCATCAATCATACCCAATAGATTTTTGGTTAGCTAACTTTACCCTAATGTTTGAAATTTTCGCCAATTTCATCCAATCGGTCCCTTTTCCGTCCAAATTAATGATCTCCGTTAGTTTTTTAATAAAATAATAAATTTAATTACAAAAACACCACAGTAATTTTTTAAAATTTTAAAAATAACCCCTAAAATATATAAAAATAACAAAACAGTCCCTTTTCACTTTTTTATTTTATTTTTTTCTATTTTGTTCCATTTCTCTCAACTACTTTTAACCATAAAAGTCTATTATATGAGTTTTAAAAAAATAATTATTTATTTTCAAACTCTAGCGTAAAAATTAATCTTTGTATACACTAAACTATATTAATATATTATTTG